GCTAATTGGAGTAAGAAATAAGACTGTTCATTGCATTTCCTAGACATTTGACACTTAAGACTAGGCAGATTTGCCTGTGTTTAACTTTGATTAGCCTATGTCTAATTTCAACTTGCATAGTTTTGAAATACTTAAAACAATTTTGCTATATGAAAAAAAATTTTTTGCTGATACTTCATATAAAAGTTTCTTATCCTCTGGTTACTATTTATTTATTTATTTATTTATTTAATTTTTTTTTTTTTTTTTTTTTTTTGAGACGGAGTCTTGCTCTGTCGCCCAGGCTGGAGTGCAGTGGCCGGATCTCAGCTCACTGCAAGCCCCGCCTCCCGGGTTCACGCCATTCTCCTGCCTCAGCCTCCCGAGTAGCTGGGACTACAGGCGCCCGCCACCTCGCCCGGCTAGTTTTTTGTATTTTTTTAGTAGAGACGGGGTTTCACCGTGTTAGCCAGGATGGTCTCGATCTTCTGACCTCGTGATCCACCTGTCTCGGCCTCCCAGCTGGTTACTATTTATTGATGAATATTCTTTTTGTTTCTACTCCCACCAAGGAAAAATTACAAAGATTTGATAAGTGAAGCAAAATTTGTTTAACCAGTTAATTTCTTTGCCTTCGAAATTAATTTTATCTTCAATTTTCTTTTTCTTTCTTTCTTTTTTTTTTTTTTTTTTTTTTTTTTTGAGACAGAGTCTCGCTCTGTAGGCCAGGCTGGAGTGCAGTGGCACGATCTCAGCTCACTGCAACCTCCACCTCCCAGACTCAAGCACTTCTCCTGCCTCAGCCTCCCAAGTAGCTGGGATTACGGGCACGTGCCACCATGCCCTGCTAATTTTTGTGTTTTTTTTAGTAAAGACTTAAAAAAACCATGTTGGCCAGGCTGGTCTGGAACTCCTGACCTCAGGTAATCCGCCTGCCTCGGCCTCCCAAAGTGCTGGGTTTACAGATGTGAGCCACCACGCCCAGCCGTATCTCCAATTTTCTAGATGACTGAATAAATCAATTTTAGGTTGTAGATTTATGAGGGCAGTTGTTAAAAAAAGGTATCTTTCAAAATGACCTTTTTGAAAGGGATTACTAAATTTTATATGTATTACTGTGTTTGGCTGAATGATTGTGGTATGTTGATTTAAAAACAAACAAATACTGATTTAAGCCAGGCTTCTTTTTTAGAAAATCTTATTTGGGTATCAGTGTGGTTTTGGTGTAGCCTAGTGAGTTTCTGTTTAGATGGAAACTTGAGAACTCTGCATTCTAATGGCGCAGGCCACTGGCTGGGTTGCCTGACTGACTGTAGAAGTGAACCCTGAGTGTCCTAATTTAAGTTTCTGAAGTTGATGAACTCTGCCTGGGGACATCTATATAGGCTGAAGTTGGTGAATTCTGCCTGGTGGGAGAGTTTGTAAAGGCCTACACTAGGAATATGATTGTAAGATTAATGAAACCATTTGGTAATTGCTTACTTCTAAATTTTTTGTACTTTGTTAAAAAGAAAGAAAAAAGACTTCCCCAGAATACAGAAATATTGTTTTGCATTTCACTGTTTTTCTATTGTTTTTGTTTTTAATTCATTTTCAACTGAGAACATGTATTAAATTGGCTGGTTGAGCATTTACGTGGTGTATGTTTTAATGGATCCTTATCCTTAGCAAAAATTTAATTCTAGTCATTAATCTGTCATTTAGCTTCTGTGACCTTGCCTATGTAAATACAGTTAACATCAGCTTTATCTACCTCAGTCATTGTTTGTTGAAGGAGCGTGTGAAATAACAAAAGTGAGAGCATTTATGTTTGTATGGTGGGTATTGGTTCCTTCTGCTTTCTCTACATGGAAAAGTGATTGTCATTTCTATGGTAGGCTTATTTTTAGGCCTATTGTCTTCATCCCTTAAATATTGGAAATCTTTGTAAATTCTCACTCATACTTAAAGCAAAGAACCTACGTACCATGTGGTACTTGTTTTTTTTTTTTTTTTTTAGTGTGTGTGGGATTCAGAAATTGTTAATAATGAATATTCAAGAAGGTACTTCAGTTTTTGTATTCTTGACATAAATAATGAAAAGAAAATACAAGATCTGTCCTCATTTTGGTAACTTATTAGTTGGCAAGGGAAATTTTTACAGTTTTTGCTTTTTAAGAAATAGTATCTTCTGGATTGAGAGTGGGAAAAGCAGTAACTATTGAGAGTCCCATGATAAGTGTTAACTTTTGTTTGGAACAGTTTACTTTTGGTTAGTCAGAGGTGGGAAGAATATTTTCCTTCCTGACTTGGAGCTCAAACTTGAAAGCATTTTCAGGGTATTATTGTATTAGAAACATTTTACAGATGAAAAATTACTGTATGGAGAAAATGGCTGAGTTAAATACTGTGAGAAAGTATATACTGCTAGTTTTATTCAATATCCTCCCCACCACACCTGTAATATTTGCATAACTTTGGTTTTACATTTGGTCTGTTCTAGATTCGTAATCTCAGTGTGAATTCTTACTTCATTTTTCCTGTTTTATTATGTGTGAAGAATTTTTTTTTGTTTTGAGCTTCTGGAGGTATCCTTCAGAATAACTCCAGTTTTTCTGTGATCAATACTAAAGCATACTATAGTTTTTAATAAGCATTATAGTAAAAACCTTCATTTATTAGATCCTCTTTTAATTTGAAATTTGAAAATTTGCACATGTATTGGGCTTAGCTTTGTTTTTCAACCTTTTGGGAACAGCAGGTTGTACAGATAGTTATAAGATGTTGATTTAACTTTTAAGGACACAATCTTGGATGCTTTTTAAAAAAGCATGTTAAGAGTACCCATATGCATACCAAAATGAATGTCTTAAAAAATGTGACTGATCATTGTATTTGAGGCACTGTTCTATAGGTCTTTGGGGATAGAGCTGAGAACAAAAAAGTCCTGCTCACATGGAACTTAACAACGTTTTAACTGAGAGAGAAAGACATTAAATAAATTAAGATGAGTTTGATGGTAATAAATACTTTGGAGAGAAATAAGCAGAGTAAGGGGGACAATGAGGGTTTAGAGGTAGGGGAATGCCCAAGGCTCTGTTATTTTGCGTATTCAGGGAAGTTTATCTAATATGGTGACACTTTAGCAAATATGTATGAAAGTGACGGGAGCAAGCAGCATAGGTATCTAGCAGAAGAGAATTCTAGGCAGAAGGAACAACAGTATGAAACACCTGAATAATAGTGCTTGGCATATGGGAGGCATTGCAAAGAAGATGGCAGTGATGCAGTGGGGGGAAGAACAGGTCACAAAGGGAATATAGTATGGATATATGTATGTATACATACACATACGTTTTGTAAATATATAGTACAGTATATATACACACACATCATGCGCCATGCAGTATATAGTATTAAATTGTGTGTGTGTGTGTATCAAGTACTGTCATTGAAACTGAAGTCTAGTGTAATATGTTCAGTGCCATAGGCTGGTTATAAAGTGCTATGAAAATCTAGAGAAGGCAGAGATTAAATTCCATTTTTTACTCTCAGAAGTTGAAGCATGCATATTCAAGTTGGATTTACTGTTTCATTTTTGTTGCAAATAGTCTGAATTGTGAAAGCGTTGTGTCATTCTGCTGTTCCACGGGCACTCTGTTTGACTGCTTTGTTCTTTGTTCTTTAAGCAATATTGGCCATGGTAGCTGCTTATCTAAAATGCATGTGTTTATCAAATATTAACTTGTATAATAATTGGACCTAGTAAAGGAAAAATTTTAAGTAAATGTTCATAGTTACATTGTCATTTCTTGCTAGCAATCAAGGCCAAGTTAGATCATTTGAATTCATATTTAATCATACAATCGAGATTAAAAGTGAACAAATTAATGAGTCATGAATAACTTTTTTCCCTTTATTGTAGTTATAGCTGAGACATTTATACATTATATTTTATATGTATTTTAAAAGTAAGACAACTCATTTCTTGGTTTTCTCCTCTGTTATATCTCTAAATTGGATTATATTATATTACATTTTTTTATTGAGGCGGAGTCTCACTCTGTCCCCCAGACTGGAGTGCACTGGTACTATCTTCGCTCAGTGCAACCTCCGCCTCCCAGGTTCAAGCAATTCTCCTACCTCAGCCTCCTGAGTAGCTGGGATTACCCATGCCCGCCACCAAGCCCAGCTAATTTTTTTTTTTATTATTAGTAAAGATGGGGTTTCAGCATGTTAGCCAGGCTGGTCTCGAACTCCTGATCTCAGGTGATACACCCCCCCCAGCTTCCCAAAGTACTGGGATTACAGGGGTGAGCCACCGCTGTATCTCTTAAAGAGAATAGTATCTCTTAAACAGATTGTAGGTTACTCTTCTTAAGTTTTATTAAGAATCTTTTTTTCCAGTTTTGTTCTCAGTATTACCTAGTTATCAACCGATCTGAGCTAATTCAATAGAACTGAGGGGAGAGAAGGAGGATAAATATTTTGTATGAACAAACTGAGATCCAACTCAATTACAGACCAGATCTCTGCCCTGTTATCTTCCTGTTGCAAAGACAGCATTCTAGGGTGGATGTTCATAAAGGTAGTTTGATCTTCATGTTGTTCATTCTTCTGTATGGATGATTTCTTTAAATAAGCTTTATTTAAAGAAAAATGTTAAATTTTAAAGAGATGAATAATACCAGTAATTTAACGGAGAGTTTTTAAGTAGTAAGGAAATGGAAGCTTCCTCAAAACCTTGCAACAATTCATTTTGAGATGACCAAAGTACTTGAGAGTTAATTATATCCTGAGGGAGTTTGATTTATTTTTTGGTATTGTCGATCATTTATGTGATTCTAGTTGGTACCCTGCTTCCTAGGTAGATTATGGTAGTCTCTATTGCTCTTAATTGAGAGATTTTTAACAACATCTCCAAACTATCTATTGCTGCTCCACTTTGTGTTAAATCTTTTGCCTGTTTGTATGCAAATCTCGTATTACCAATAAATTAAAATCAGAGAGGAAATTAATCATTTAAAAATTTTTTATTGCAGACTTAATTCAGTGCACAAATGAGATGAATGTGAACATCCCACAGTTGGCAGACAGTTTATTTGAAAGAACTACTAACAGTAGTTGGGTGGTGGTCTTCAAATCTCTCATTACGACTCATCATTTGATGGTGTATGGAAATGAGGTAAGCAGAATTTTTAATGAACAAGTATACTGATGTGTTGACTTATTGTTAGCTAGCTTTTCTCACTGAAACTTCAGAAACAGCTTCCAGGTACAAAGGGCAAGGTACCTAGCCAGAAATATAGTTATAGACCCTGCAATCTGAGGAAAGATAGCCTATAAACCAGAAAGCAAAAAGTGGGTCAGAGCACAGAGGACATCAATAATGGATCAAGAAGCAAAGATTAATGCCTGGAAATGGGTTCCATAAGCATCCCTGGTTTTTACTGGTCCTGTTTATAGACTATATATTTGTCTATATCCATTTGTTCTTTTATTGTAGCCCAGTTAGAATTTTTTTTTTTTTTTTTTAGATGGGGTCTTGCTTTGTTGCCCAGGCTGAAGTGCAGTGGTACCATCCTAGCTCACTGCTACCTCAAATTCCTGGACTCAAGGGACCTTCCCTCCTCAGCCTCCCACGTAGCTGGGATTACAAGTGTGTGCCACTATACCAGGCTTATTTTTAAATTTTTTTTGTAGAGATGGGGGTCTTTCCATCTTGGCTTAGGCTGGTCTTGAAGTTCTGGGCTCAAGTGATCCTCCCACCTTCGCCTCCCAAAGTGCTGGGATTACAGGCGTAAGCCATCACACCCAGCTTTAGATTCTCGTCTGATCTCATGTAGTTGTTTGTGGAAGCACTTTGCCTACTTCAAAGCTGTGTATTTAGGACTAAGATGGCATTTGCTGAGAAGGACTGATTGAAGAGTGCCTTCTTCAGCAGAGAGGTGTGTCTGAAGCCATTGTTGCCTAAAAGGGTAACAAATAAGATATATAAACTTTTGCAATTCTCTGTTTTGAGAGAATTGTCTTACTTTCCATGATAGCCTAGCAGTTTTGGTTCATTTTTTCAGCTCAATAAACTTATTTGTAAAATTGTATTAATAGGAGCTTTTCAAGAACATCTGAGTAGAACTAGATAAATCTTCATTGGTATGTGCCTTAGAAAAATGCAGTCTACAAGGATAACCCTCTAGAGATGAGAAGAACTTTAGTCATTGGTACTAGTTTTCTGAGCATAATGACTTACTGACATCCATCACGTCATGTGTTATTGTGGGCTTTTCAGTATTGAAACTATTTTCTGACAACTACCAATATAGCATTATTAAAGTTCAAAATTAAAGCAGGAATTTACCCACAACTTTATTATTCCGACGCATCTTACTATTGGCACATTTTGGTCTTCCCTCTGGTTCTTGTCCAAAAGTATTTGTGTTTTTTAAATGGCTATAATCATAATGTAGATAAAATATATTTAGCTTTTTATATAATATCACACTGTCAACATCACCATGTTGTATTTTTTAATCATCTTTAATAACTGTGTAATTGATCCTATAGTTCACAAGTTTTAAACTATTTTCCTTGCTAGAAATTTAGTTTTCTGATTCATTGTTATACCACCACATTGAGTGGTTTTATATTTGTAGTTTTTAATTTTTTAAAATTATTTCCCCTAAGTGTTACCTGAAATGTGATTACTAAGTCAACAGACATGACCGTTTTTAGGACTTACGTTAGTTGCTTTCTAATACATCATAACCAGTTTATAGAGCTAATAGAAATGTTTGGCTATATTAGCTTAAATGTAACTTGAAACATCTTAACTAGGGTAATAGTTTTTACTTGTGGCAGGAATATGTTTAGTTAAGATTATGATTTTTCTGAAGAATTCCAAACGTGTATGTATTTTTCTTCTTATCCTTCTTTATTTATTTGATATAGTATATTTTTTAAAAAGAAAAAGCCACAAATATAACCAGCTACACTGCCAGATAAAGTATCAATAATGGCTCTCAGAGGCTGTAAATAAGGTAATTGATAGTACTAGAGGCAAAATGTTAGTAAAGACAAAACAGAAAGTTGACAGTCATTTCGTAGAATTGATTGACAAGGGGAGAAAGATAGCATTTTAGTGTTTTTTTGATAAACTCATGTTTAGCTTCCTCTAGGTAGTTAAAGCAAATTCCACGCTCTGTTCATTTTTTATGCTAGTTTGTACAACCTTCAGGTGTTCCCATTGGCAGATGCCATTAATTTGTTAGAGGCTGTACATAGGATTTCACTATGCTGTGGTGACTGGAATACCATGGAGTGGTGGTTCTCAAAACTGAGTGGGGAAGGGGGATGATTTTTTTTTCCCTTAGAGGACATTTGTCACAACTGAAGGGGGTTGCTACTGGTATCTAGTAGGTAAAGGCCAGAACTGCTTCAAAATAGCATATAATAATGCACAGAATAGACTGGGTGCGGTGGTTCATGCCTGTAATCCCAGCACTTTGGATGGCCGAGGTGGGCAGATCACCTGAGGTCCGGAGTTTGAGACCAGTGTGACCAACATGGTGAAACCCCGTCTCTACTAAAAAATACATAAATTAGCCAGGCGTGGTGTCGCGCGCCTGTAATGCCAGCTACTCAGGAGGCTGAGGCAGGAGAATCACTTAAACCCGGGAAGCAGAGGTTGCAGTGAGCGAGATTGTGCCATTGCATTCCAGCCTGGGCAACAGAGCAAGAGACTCCGTCTCAAAAAAAAAAAAAGAAAAAGAAAAAAAAGTAACGTGCAGAACAGTCCCCAACAACAAAGAATTATCTGATTCAGTGTCAGAGTGCTCAGGTTGAGAAACCTGGCCACGGAGAAGAAATCTCAAAAGGTTAAGGCTGGGTGAGCATTGTGTTATAGACCCTTGACACCAGGCAAGTAGGTACTTCTATACCGTTGTTCAGTTACCAACTGGGTGACTTGGGTAAGTCACTTCTGGACCTTCCTCAATAATATGATAGTATCTTCATGGTAAATAGAATTGACCAAGGCTCTTATTGTAGTATGAAAAGTTATAGGTGATTAATACATGAAAATGTGGAGTTAAAAATTTGTAGATGAAATTAGAAAAGAGACGTATAGAACCAAGCATGGATTTTTTATAAAGTATTTAATACCATTTTGGGTAAAATATTCTGAAATATGTTCTTTAAATATTTTGTTATGAAAAGTTTCTAATATACACAATAGTAGAGTGAATGGTATAACAAATGCTTATGTACCTAATCACCCATCTTCCACATTGCCGTTCTTTAAATGAAGTTTTAGGATAATCCATTTCAGGTTACCGCTTATGACCCAAAATGGGAACCTATGAAGCCTTATTACTTGCCAGATTGTTGGCATGGTGCTCAATTTAATACCATTTTGAATAGCATTAGGATGCTGTTGAAACCAAAACCACAACTTGATTAAAGCCATATATGTCTTGAAGGTAGAAAGGACTAATAAAATGAAAAGGAAAATTTAGATTTATTATCTCTAAAATCATGAATGAAATGGCTTGGTAGACTAAATTATTTACATTAATTTAGAATGCAGAGGTAAAGAAGAGTCTTATCAAAATCTATTAAAATCATAGTCTAATATTGTCTTACGATATTTTTATAACTTTTTGAAACACTGTTTTAGGATAATTGTGAAATAGAGTCTTCAGTTTACAAATTGGTTTTCAAAATCCTGGTTTGTTAGTTTGGGGTGGTCTCAGTTGAACAAGACTGATTTGGGGGCCGGGCACAGTGGCTCACACCTGTAATCCTGACACTTTGAGGGGCCAAGGCGGGAGGATTGCTTGAGTCCAAGAGTTCCAGACCAGCCTAGGCAGTGTAGTAAGATGTTGTCTCTACAGAAAATTAAAAACGAAATGTGATCTGGACATGGTGGTGCATGCCTGTAGTCCCAGCTACTTGGGAGCGAGGGTGAAGAGTGAATGGTGGGTGGTGCTTCGTGCTGAGATGGTAGGATTGCTTGAGATCAGGAGGGTGGAAAGCTGTGATCACACCACTGTACTCCAGCTTGGACGACAGAGCAAGACCCTGTCTCAAAAAAGAAAAAAAAAAAAAAGGACTGATTTCGGAGGTGATGGTGTACATCCTAGTTGATGATTAGCCTCTGCATGCATTAAAAAAACGAAGAAGAAAGTAAAGGAATCCTAAGAATTGAAATTGAAAGGCATTTCTTTAGCTGTTTAGAGGCTGTATGTGAAGGAGACTAATGTTATTTACTATGGTAAGCACTTCAGAGAGCATTTTGGCAATATTGAGAAGATGAACTTTTACATATGTGCTGGCCTAATAATTCATCCCTAAGTATATATCCTGATAAATGAATATACTTATGCATAGAGACCAAGAACAAAGATGTCAATACAACTTTGTTAATAATAGCGAAAATTAGAAAGTATATCCATGCTAAATAAATGGATTTATAATGATGTATTCATTGGAATATTAGAACATCATTTAAAATGAAATGTTAAGTGGGGTAATTCTTAGGGAAAGGTTGAGTTAAAGCACATTGCAGAGTAAGTACACTATGATACTTGTGTAAATTTAAAATAGAAAGCAATTGGATAGTTTATAGATACTTGTATATCTAATAAAATGGTGAAAACCTGTGTGAAAGTAATGTGTACCTGTTTCAGAAAAGTACTCACCTCTGAAGAGGGAGGGAAGGGAGATTGAAGGTGTGGGTCTTCAATGGAGGCTATAATGTTTTGATTTTATATAAGATCTGAAGTGAGCATGTGAATTTGTTTAATCTGGACAGTGGGTAAGAGGATCTCTATTGCTTTCTTGTATGTTTAGAAGTATTTTGGTTTTTTTTAAAAGCCAAAACTTTGGTATACCAGATGGCTATTTAAAATACAGATGCCACCTAGAAATGATTAGCCATAGTTTTAGTATGCTGTAATAAAACCCAAACTACTGGTTCCACTGCCTATTTGCTTTTATTATTTTGGCTTAATACTATAATATATCTGTGGGAATTAGGCTGTAATAAATTCTCGCATGCTAGTGAAAAATATGTATTATGTTTTTAGGTTTGGTAACTAGTTAATGGGAGGAGTAGTGAGGATGAGAAATTTAAACTAGATAAGCTTAATGGAATGCATTAACCATAACTTTTCCTCCTAATTTTCGAATTAAGAGTTTGTGAGATGGCAGTACCTTAATATGATGTAATTATTTTTTTTTTCCAGCGTTTTATTCAGTATTTGGCTTCAAGAAACACGTTGTTTAACTTAAGCAATTTTTTGGATAAAAGTGGATTGCAAGGTAAAGATAACTTTTTCATTATAGAAAATCAAAAGAATGACACCCACATGATGATTACTCTGGAGTAGAACTCTGTCTTTTAGAACATGTGCTACTTTAAACCTTATATTTTAGTGAAGGTTGTAGGAAAGAAAAAACTGTCTTTTAATTTGAATTAATATTTATTTGCCTACCAGATACTCAGAGCTCTCTGAGAGGTAGTACAGAGTAGTTATTTGAGAGCATGAATTCCGGAGCTGGACTGTCTGGGTTTGAATCTCATCTTTGCCACCTACCAGCTATGTGAACTTGGGCAGGTTACTTCACCTCTGCATCAGTAGAATCGAGTAATAGTGATAGTACCTACCCAATAAGATTGTCATGAGACTTAACCTAGTTAATTACTACAAAGTGCTTAGAACAGTGCCTGGCACGTAAGACATGCTGTGTAAGGCCAGGTACGGTGGCTCATGCCTGTAATCCCAGCACTTTGGGAGGCTGAGGCGGGTGGGTCACTTGAGGTCAAGTGTTCAAGACCAGCCTGGCCAACATGGTGAAACCCCATCTCTACTGAAAATACAAAAATTAGCCGGGGTTGGTGGTGCACGCCTGTAATCCCAGCTACTCAGGAGGCTGAGGCAGGAGAATCACTTGAACCCAGGAGGCGAAGGTTGCAGTGAGCCAAGATCATGCGCTTCAGCCTGGGTGACAAAGCTAGACTCTGTCTCAAAAAAACAAACAAACAAAAAAGAAATGCTGTGTAAATATTTGCTTTCATTGTTATTGTATTATTTTATGTTTCATTCCAAGAAATGTAGTTGGAATATTACATGTTTTAGTAGCTAAAGTAAATATAATTTATTAAGATGAATTGTTCATTTATATTCTTTTTTTCGTATTCATTCATAAGCTGTTTTCTTTTCTTTTTTTTTGAGACAAAGTCTCATTCTGTCACCAGGCTGGAGTGAAGTGGCATGATCTCGGCTCACTGCAACCTCCCCCTCCCGGGTTGAAGCAATTCTCCTGCCTCAGCCTCCCGAGTAGCTGGGACTACCCGAGCGTGTCACCACACCCAGCCAATTTGTGTATTTTTAGTAGAGACGGGGTTTCACTATGTTGGCCAGGATGCTCTCCATCTCTTGACCTCATGTTCTGCTTGCCTCGGCCTCCCAAAGTGCTGGGTTTACAGGCGTGAGCCACCGCACCTGGCCTGTTATTTTTTATTTAGTAACTTGAAATGGACATGATGTGGTTATAGCTGTCCATGCACATTGTCATAATGGGATCTGGTTTTACTTAGTTCTGTAACTAGGCTGTTAGCATTATAGAATGTCAGCTTTAGGGAGAACCTCATAAAGGATATGCCAAATGAGTTGGGAATATTCAGTAGTGAGGCTCAATCAGGGAAGTGTCTTTAGAGAAGGTGAGATTTATGCTGGGCTTCAAGGGAAGGATGAGAAGATGAGTTGGCTTAAGCACAGGTACACAGGTACAATACATGGATGTGAAAGTAAGCACAGATACACAGATGTATATGGATGTGAAAGTCATTCACATGGATATGAATATTTAAGATTTATAGAGCAAATGAATGTGAAGAGAATCTATATGAATGGTGTATTTGAGAACATGTAGTGGCAGATAGCCCTCAAGAAGCTGTTCAGAGCCATAATCAAGCACAAAAATATTTTATATAGTTGGAATTTCATAATGCAGTAGAGAGAGGAGGGGAGAGAGAATTATGTGTTACAAGGAAACATCATAACTTAGTCAAGTTAGATCAGAGTAAACCAAATCTTGAAGATGCTGAGACTGTTTCAGTTGTTGTTCTTGTTATCTAGTGTAGAGTTAATGAAGGCCTGAACTGTGGTTCTTCTGGAGGTGTTAAAAAAAAAAAAAAAAAAAGATCAGTGGAATTGTTTTGTGTGTGTGTGTATGTGACTGGCTATATTTGAGTTTGGAGGTGTTCAGTCCAATACTTGTTTCCCTTTGGTAGGTGCAAGTATATCCTTGCTTAAAATGAATTTAATACCCTATCTTCCAGACATTTTAGAAGACCAGTAATCTATACATAGGACCCAGTGTTACAAAATGCATTATATTTTAATAAGAGTTATAGTGCTCTAACTTAAGGAAAAAAAAATTAAAACAGTAGACCCCCCCTCTCTTGAAAAAATATTTTCTTTTTCTTTGAGACAGGATCTGGTTCTGTTGCTGATGCTAGAGTGAAAGAGGCCGGGGCTTGCTCTGTCACCTAGGCTGGGTGCAGTGGTGTGATCATAGCTCACTGCAGCCTCAAACTCCTGACTCAAGCAGTCCTCCCTTCAGCCTCCCAAGCAGCTGGGATTACAGATGTGCACCATCACGCGTGGCTAATTATTTTGTTCTTAAATGTTTTGTAGAGGTGGGCTCTTGCTCTGTTGACCAGGTTGGTCTTGAACTCTTGGTCTAAAGCAATCCTCGTAAGCCTCCCAAAGTTCTGGGATTACAGGCATGAGCCACCATACCTGGCCTGTTTTTGAAATCTTAAAACAGAAGCCAGATATATATTATAGATAAAAATGGAGAGTCTCTATTTTCAGGGGCATGGAAGAAACTGCCTGCTCATCCTTTAATTTTCACTTCCTCCCTCAGTCAGTTCATTTTAACTTTAAAAGTGTATGGAAAACAAGATGTAGAGCACTGCTCTAGGCACAGTTTATGCATATATCCAAGTAGGTTTTTTGTGTCTTATTAGCAACTGATTTCTTATTTTCTTAAGATGGAAATTAAGTAATTCTAGTGATAAGGTTTTAATAATTTCACTCTTTTTATGTAGAGGAGAGTGAGCCTTGAAGGATGAGAGGTTCTTTACCCTCTTAGGATGGGGTATAGTAGATAGAACCATATGAATTGAAGAGCTGAGGAGTGTGAGCATGTAACACCTGACCTGTACAGTAGTAGGTATGAAGTCATATGAGAACAGTATTTTTTTTTCTATTTTGTTCACTGATTTTTCTCCACTGGTACTTAATAGGCACTCAATAAATATTTTGCTAAATAAATGAACTGGTGATATTGAAATCCAGTTAGTTTACATTTTCGGTGGTTTTGGTATTGTCTTTTAAAAGTAGCAAAGATCAAGTAATTTAATTTGTTAGATGAATATGAGTTAAAATGGGTTCACTTTGCAATGAGGAGCAAAAATTTATAGACTTCCTTGAGCCAGGCAATAATTAAACACACAGTTTTTGATGTTTTTAAAAAATAATATTGATTAGATTTTATGTTGCTGAAGTTTTCAAATCAAGGACATGATGAAACAGTCTTAAAATGATTTATGTATTCATTTAGAAATTTCATTGAAAACATATAATTGTTTTTGTTACACCCTAAACTTGCCTATTGCCATTTGTTATATTAGTAATTTTTTACACTTTTTATAAGGTTGGCACATATAAGTTATGGTTCTAAATACAGCTAAAGATTTTAGGAATATAAAAATTATATGGAGTTGCTTGATGTTTTGAGGAATGGGATTGTGGTTCCATAGGATGTTAAATTTGAGTTGTGAGATTATCAAGTTGTATAAAAGGACATGTTTTTCTAACTCCTGATGAATAAAGAATAGGAATATTGAAAGAAAGAAAAGAAACTTCTTATTTTGGTGAAGGTCTAAGGAAGAGTTTTTTTTTAAAGCTACATAGGACTTATCTGATTTAAATATGAAACCTTAAGAGAATTTAATGGTAATATTATTAATAAGTTACTTAATTTACATCACTAAATTGAATTGGGATACCAAGGCATTATAGCCATTGAATACAATGAATTGTTTTTCTAGGAATATTGGGATTTTTAGTCATTTATAAAAACTTGTTTCTTTTTTTTCTTTTTCTTTTTTTTTTTTTTTTTTTTTTTTTTACAGGATATGACATGTCTACATTTATTAGGCGGTATAGTAGATATTTAAATGAAAAAGCAGTTTCATACAGACAAGTTGCATTTGATTTCACAAAAGTGAAGAGAGGGTGAGTTAAGCTTTTTTTGGCATCTAATTGATTTGAATTTTTAAAAATGTAAAACATAGGAGTACTAGATTATGAATTATGAAATTTAAGCCAGTTTTAAAAGACGAACCTCATTTTTCTTTGATGAGGTATATCAAGTACTTTTTGTGGTAGGATTTGTTTTTAAGTTCTTTTTGTAGCACCTTTATTGAGATATAATTCACATAACAAAAGTTATCCTTTTAAAGTGTGTAATTCATTGGTTTTTAGTATATTTACAGAGTTGTCCAACATCACCACTAATTTCAGAACATTTTTATCACCTCCAAAAAGAAGCTCTGTACCTATTAGCATTTGTTTCCTGTTCCCTCTTCCCCTAGATCCTGGCAACCATGAACCTACTTTCTGTGTCTCTGGGCTTGCCTATTCTGCACATTTCATATAAATGAAATTATACAATATGTGGCCTTTGTGTAGCATAATATATCCAAGTTATAGCATCCATGTTATATCATATATCAGTATTTTATTCCTTTTTCTAACCAGATCATATTTTACTTTATGGACATATATTGCATTTTGTTTATCTGTTCATCAGCTGATGGCCACTGGAATAGTTTCTGCTTTTGACTATTAGGAATAATGGTGCTGTGAACATTAGATTTTATGTGGATTATCTTTTTAATTCTCTTCGGTATATACCTAGAACTGGAATTGCTGTGTCATATGGTAACTCTTATGTTTGCCATTTTGAGGAACTGCCAAATTATTTTTCAAAGCAGTTGAATCATTTTACATTCCCATCAGTAATGTATGGCACTTTCAGTTTCTCCCTATTCTTGCCATACTTATTTTCTGTTTTTGTTTCTGGTTTTTTGTTTTGTGTTTTTTTAATTGTAGCCATCCTACTGGGTGTGAAGTAGTGTCTTGTGATTTTTAGTTGTCATTTCCCTGATGGCTAATGATATTGAGCATTTTTTTTTGTACTGTTGACCGTTTGTATATTGTCTTTTGAAAAAATGCCTCTTCAAACCCTTTTCCCTGTTTTTATTTTTTATTTTCACTTTTTGAGACAGTGGCACAATCCCAGCTCACTGCGTGTCGACCTCCTGTGCTTAAGCATTTTTCCCCTGCAGCCTGCTGAGTAGCTGGGAACACAGGCATGCAACACTATGCTCAGTTAATTTTTTAAAAAATTTTCATACAAACAAGGTCTTACTATGTTGCCTAGACTGGTCTTCAACTCCTGGGCTCAAGCAGTCTTCCCATTTCGGCCTCCCACAGTGTTGGGATTATAGGCATGAGCTACTGACCTGGCCTTTTGCCCATTTTTGAATTGGGTTACTTGCCTTTTTATTGTTAAGTTGCAAGAATTTAAAAAAATATATTCTGGACACCAGTTGCTTATCGCATAAATAATTTGCAAATATTTCTCTCCTGTGGCTTGTCTTTTCAGTTTCTTGTTGGTGTTTTTTGAAGAACAAACACTTTTAACTGATTAATTAAGTGTATCTATTTTTTTCCTTTGGTTGCTTCTACTTTTGTCATCATGTCTAAGAAATCATTGTTTAATCCAAGGTCACAAAGATGTACTCCTACTTTTTATTCTAAGAATCTTGTATTTTTTGACCTTATAGTTAGGTTTTTTATCTCTTTGGAATTAACTTTTGTATATGGTGTGAGAGATGAGTCCAAATTTATTCTTTTGTATGTGGATATATAGTTACCCAGCACCATTTTGTGAAATTACTCTTCTTTCCCCATTGGATAGTCTTACCACCTTGTTGAAGATGAATTGACCATAAATGTAAAGGTTTATTTCTGGACTTGCAGTTCTGTTCTGTTGATCTGTATGTGTATCTTCATGCCAGTACCCCACACTGTCTTGCTTACTGTTGCTTTGCAGTATGTTTGAAAATGAGAACGTGTGAGTCTTCCAACTCTATTCTTTTTTTCCCCCAACATTGTTTTGGCTGTTCTGGGCGCCTTGCATTCCCATGTGAATTTCAGGATCAGCTTGTTGATTTTTGCAGAAAAGATAGCTGGGATTTTGTAGGGGATTGCATTGAATCTGTTGATCAGCTTGGGGAGTATTCTTAATGATTAAATTTCTAGTCCATGAACAAGAGATGTCTTTCTGTTTATTTGGATCTCTTCTCATTTCTTTCAGTGCTGTTTTGTATTTAAGCTTTCTTTTAATCTCAAATGCAGAAGATGCATTTAATTTTTGCTGCACCCTAATTAACAATCATCTTAGCACATGATCCAGTCATATGAATGATACAGTCATTGCTTCTATAACTGATAACACCTGATACGCAGATTTTTTCCTAGGATATAGGATGAGGGCTGAGGAGAAAGCCACTGAAGACATTCTTAGCAGCAGTGATGACCCTTGTAGCTATGAAGTCCTGTCTTGAAGGGAATCTGTCATGTACAGGAATAGCCTGGTGAATGCCTTCCTGAGCCACTCTGCTGCTCAGTGATCCCTAAAGTCTAAGCAATTGATGTGTTCCTTTAGATTGTTCTATTGAAATTTTAAATTAATGGACTGAAGGGAAAAATTTAGCTGAAATATAGAATTAACCTCTTAGTTATGCAAGAAAATTTAAAGCTGAATTTAAATGTTCTATGTTGCCATTCCCAATTCATCAGGAGGCAATTATTTTGGAATATGCCTAGAGTAAATTCTACAGATTTTATTTCATATATTTAAGCACTTTGTAGAAGATTATGTTGGAGAACTTTTTTAGAAGTCTGATTTTTAACCTCTGTATTCTGTCCAATAATATTACACTGTAAAGTGTCTTCAGTAAAGTTGATCTTCAGTGTATTTACCAATTTCAGAATAATAGATTTTTAAAATGGTAACATTTTTTCTAATGTGAAGGGCCAGTCTTGAGAATAGTTGATGAATTTTTTTATTTAATAGAGCAGTCTTTTTTAATTGGATGAAAATGGCTCTTGATCAAGTACAATAAAATTAGTATTGACTTAGTTGAATCAAGGAGGAGCCATAAGTGGGGACCATAAGCCATTGAGTGGGGACCAAGAAGAAGCGCAAAAGTGGCATTATACACACACACATACACATATTAGACTGTATAAATACAAAAGAAAAATATCAAGAATATCAGGTATAAATTGAGGACATGACAGCAGTTGAAATGTATTATATCATGGCAAAAACCTCAGTAGGCGACACCTTTTGGAGAGGACTCTCATTATAAGTAGTGAAGTTTGATTTATTAAGATAATTTTTTATATTTACAAAAGTAATAAACTTAAAAAAAAATTAAGAGTACCATCCTAATTCATAGAAAATGTTAACATTTTAGTGTGTCTAATCTTTTCTGTGGGTGTAAATAAAAACATGTATATAAAGGCACATAGGAAATTACATAAAAATTGGATCAGATTCTTTGAAGGCTGCTTTTCTTTCCTCCTGTGTATTTTGGACATTTTCAATGTCTGTACACATAGATCCATCTCGTTCTTTTTTTTTAAGATGGAGTCTGGCTCTGTCACCCAGGCTGGGATGCAGTGGTGTGCTCTTGGCTTACTGCAACCTCCACCTCCCGGGTTCAAGCGATTCTCCTGTGTCAGCCTCCCAAGTAGCTGGGACTACAGGTGCCCGCCACCATGCCCAGCTAATTTTTGTATTTTTGGTAGAGATGGGGTTTTGACATGTTGGCCAGGCTGGTCTTGAACTCCTGACCACAAGTGATCCACCTGTGTCGGCCTCCCAAAGTGCTGAGATTACAGGCATGAGCCACCCCGTCCAGCCTCAGTCCATCTCATTCTTATGAATGGCTGTAGAATTATGTTGCAGTTGTACATCTGATTTATTCCCATTTTTTTTTAATCTTATAAAAGCAATGGATTGACCATCCTTTTATTTATGGTTGCATTAAGAGAGTTTTTCTATAGAATAAATTATTAAAATTGATGGGTCATTGATAAATATATATACATTTAACATTTTAATAGAAAACACCAAATTATGCTTTATAAAAGTTATAACAAATTATTGGCTTAGTTATTCTGTATTCTTCCATCATGAAAAATGCATCTCATGTGTTCATTTTGTATTAGCTGATTGAATAATAAATGGTGATATTGAGCACACTCCCCCTTCCTTTTGAATGCCATATTTGTTTTATTAATTGTCTTTTGATGTCCGTTGACAGCTTCTCTATTGGGTTTTTCATTCTTTTCCATTGTGTTGAATAGTGGTAAGAACTCACAAGCTTTTTTAGTCAGATGAATCTAGGTTTGAATTCTAGCTTCATACCAATTAGATGAGGGACTTCAGTGAGATACTTTAGCTGGTTTACTGACTTTTAAAAAATAATGTTACTTTGAAATAATTTCACTTCCAGAAATGTAGCAAGAATATTAGAGAACATCTGTATACTTTACTCAGAACCACCAGTTTTTAACATTTTGCCACATCTGCATTTCTCTTTCTGTGTATATTCACATAGGCACGCACACACATTTTTTTTCTGAACCATTTGAGAGTGGGTTACATACCTGATGCCTTTTATAGTTTATATCTTTTAATACTTTGGTGAATATTTTCTAAGAACAAGGATATTTTGTTACATATCTGTCAGCTTGCTAAACTGCTTTCACATGGTGGCACACAAACTGATAACTATTTATACAAGAGACTACTTGAGGCTAAAGGGTTAAAAAGGGTCAACATCTTGGCACACTCATAACCCTTTCTACCGTGCTAGTATGCTGTGGCAAAACTGGGAAGGCCTTACTTAAGCTCTGAGTTATTTCATCTGTAAAATTATGATGTTAATTAGTACTTTTCTGTTAGGATTGTTGTGAGAATTAAATGGGATATTGTATCTAATGCTTACGTAATGAACACTTAACAAATGAACTTTTTGTGTATTAGGAAAATGTTATAGGTTATGAGTATTTTTCCCTGTTTTTTTAACATTGTTAAAAGCTTTACAGTCTTAGGTGATCAAAACCGTTATCTTCATTTTTATGTTTTTTATCTTTCAAGCAAGCTCAGTGAGCTAAAATGATTAATTATTATGTTTTCATCAGATATATTTATGGATTCAGTGTTTTATATTTTAATCTTGGATTCATTTGGAGTCTACCATGGTAGGAAAAACATGAGGTAAAAGCCAACTTTTTTTTTTTTTTGAGACAGTTTTGCTCTGTCACCCAGGCTGGAGTGCAGTGGCGTGATCTCTGCTCACTGCATCCTCCGCCTTCCAGATTCAAGCAATTCTCCCACCTCAGCCTCCCGAGTATCTGGGACTACAGGCACACGCCACCGTGCCTGGCCACTTTTTGTATTTTTTAGTAGAGATGGGGTTTCACCATATTGGCCGGGCTGGTCTCAAAATCCTGACCTTGTGATCCACCCGCCTTGGCCTCCCAAAGTGCTGGGATTACAAGCGTGAGCCAATGCGCCCAGCCTTAGCCAACTATTTTTAAATAGAAATATAGTTTGGGTGGCAAGAAGACCAGACAATTGCTTTTTGTTATTTTCTGTTCTAGAATTAAATATTTTGGGAGTTAAGAGCTGAGAGCTGATGTGTTTCATGTAAGGAGACAAGGAAAGAGAAGAAGAAAACTTGAAGATGCTTAGGAGAGGATTTTATTAGAGAAGGCTAAGAGGATTGCTGGCAATGTTGAGTATTCATTTGAGGTTGATGATCATGAGTTTATAGTTTTGCCAGTTTGCCCAGTTGTGCCGTTTTCTTTACCAGCACTCAGCTATATGTGTACAGGCATGGATTAGTTAGGTGTTTGCTCAGCCAGGATTGTTAATTTGCCAGGTGACTGACATGCAGGGAAGAAAAGAGGTGCAAGAAAGTTAAAGGTATTTGTAAGGGAGTGATTATAATAATGATCTGTGGGATTCTAAGCTAGGTGAAGAAAGTAAAAATGAGAAAGGATCAGTGTGGGTAGTGGTGGAGTTGAAACATTGAAGTTTCTGATGAGGTCAAATAGTTTTTGCCACAGAGATATGTGACCAAAGCAGCTGAAAGGTTAACAGGTAATTGTCACGGAATGAGGTGTCTGAATTTTACCTTTTTGTTTGTTTGTTTGTTTTCGTTCAGGGGTGGGGCTAGGATGCTGTGGTTTCTGGGGGCAGTAAGGTTAGAATCAGGAATTTTGACATCAAGATGTTGGATTGGTTGTCCATATAGATGTTGAAGCTAATGAAGACAAGAAAGACTGAGCCAATGTTCAAATCTTCTGTGATGAAGAAGTAACTGGAGGTAAAAAAGTGACTTCAGTAAGAAGAGTTGCAAAAGAAGGGATGGTGTCTCATCCCAAGCTCCAGCAGCTGGTTCCAGCCAATGCTGTTTAGCACTTGAGAGGAAACAGGCATCCATAAGTTAACATATTGGGGAGAATTAGGCCGAAGCTGATCAGTAGGTGACTACTTAAGGTAGTCCAGTATTTGTTTATTAAACTTTGTTGTGTCCTGCAAAGCACAGTTGTTGCTTTTTATAGCTTAATTGTTTTTTGGCATCTGAGGTCATAGTTCATGGTTTATCGTAGGGTAGAACAGCCATTTATAAGTATAGATCATTTGTAAATTAGGGGAACCTGACATATTTTTTGGAAATGCCTTATTACTCAGCCAAACAGTTATGCCATTATTTCACAGTCTAATACACCTGGGTTTACATAATGACGCTACCACTGATTAGTTCTGTGATCTTAGGCAAGTCTTATACCCTCACTGAACTTAAAATTTCATCAACCGTAAAATGGAATAAGAATATCAGTAGAATTTTTATGAGGATTTGAAAATGATAGGGCAATCTCTTGAGTAATACTAAATGTGATATACAATAAGCTCTTAATATTAGCTGTGTACGTTAGCCCTAGTACCTTTCACGTAGTAGTTTTTAAATCTGTTTTGGTGCCGCTAATATTTCTCTATCTTTAGAAATACCTGTTTGGAAATATTTAACAGACTATTTTATTAAAGACTGTCCACTGAAAGTATCTCTTGTGTAATAGCCAGATTAGAATGACTTGGTAAAATTGTTCTTTATTTTGTAGTGAAGTGGTTTTAGTTATCATTTCTGAATTAAAAGCCATTGCTGTTGGGTCATGAATAAAATACTGTAAATAAAGCAGTGCTCTAAGACTTTGTCAGCTCCTGGCCTACAGAGTGTTTAACTGTTTAGTGACTTCAGGCAAATGATTATTTTATTTGTAATTTTTAAAAAAATGGTAAAACTGCTCTTCACACACCAATGTTTGTGAGGATCAGATCATTTCCTCATGTGAAAAGTGTGCTGTAGACCTTGCTGTTTAATGTAAACTTTTGTTTTTATAGTTCATGCTTTATGTTCTTTTTTAGTTCTAAATGAGTACCTTGACATTTAACATATTATGTTGCCTGTTTTTGTTTTTCCTGTATGATCTCTGCTTTAGTTTTCATAATGACTTAAAAATATGTGGCATTTAATAGCAACTTGGTTCTCTGTTTTAGTAGAGAACCAGGGGAGTTTGAAATGTAGATTTAATTGCAGATTCATTTGTTTATTTCTCTTTTTTTTTCCGTAACAGGGCTGATGGAGTTATGAGAACAATGAACACAGAAAAACTCCTTAAAACTGTACCAATTATTCAGAATCAAATGGATGCACTTCTTGATTTTAATGTAAGTTGATTTATGCTTTTGTAATTTAAGATTTTAAAAAATTAGGTCATTATAATTAATGAGAATTTTTAACTTCAAGTTTTCACAGACTCTAGTTTTTCTCACTGATATCCTATATGGCTAAGGATTTTCTATAAAATAGTCTCAAGTCAAATTACTTTTTGATTTTTATGACTGTTTTGGATTTCTTTAGTGCTTCTCTGGCTCTAGAATTTTAAGATATACAAGCTAAAGTGGTGAAAGGATTGATCTGAAAATATATTTTCTTTTAATAATGACTTTTAGATTTTAAAAATGTACAGGGGTATTTTTTAAATGAATAGCCAACTTAATATTTTGTTTTTGTCTATTTAATGGGACTCGAAGCGTGACAGTTATTCAGAAAAAATTTAAATAGCACTTATAATAGCCTGTTATGTAGCTATTGCCCAAGGGCATTGTGTTCCCTGGAATTTTTATTTTAATGACCATGACTTCATCCAAGCTGCCAGCTTTGTCATTTATTTATAATATGTTAGAAGTTAGCACTTTCAACTCTGTTCTGGTTTTTTTTGGCATCTATCTTACAATGTTTTGTTTATTATTTATTTGACATTTTGTTTTAGAGATTGTGAGTGCGAGTTAGTGAATGGAACTGTGACAGTTTCATGCTGAAACAGATTTTTCCTTTAAATTGTTTAATTGCTAGTTTTTAAGCTTCTTCAGGACAGAAACTAGGTCTCTTTTGTTCTCTGTTGTACCCCCATTGCCTATTAGCGTGGCACATAGTAAGTGCTGAGTAAACTTCAACACTATTGAAACTGTAAGATTCAATAAATCTTACAGGTATTTCATAGACTAGAACAGAGATTATCCAACTATAGCTCACTGCCTATTTTTGTATGTTTTATAAGTGGTTGAAAATAATTAAATGATATTTTGTAACAGGTGGAAATTATATGAAATTCCAGCTTCAGTGTCCTCAATAGTATTATTGGAACACAGCCAGCCCCGCTGGTACATACTATCTATGGCTGTTCCATGTCACAACAGCAGAGTTGAAAAGTTGTGACAGACTGTGTGGCCCACAAAGTCTAAAATACTTACCATCTGACACTTTACAAAAAAAAGTTTGCTGACCCCTACTCTAGAAGGCCTGGGGTATTGATGCAGTTATTCAACATTATTTTGGTTTATATAGAAGCTCAGGGTCCAACCATGCATATTTTTCTTAATATATTGTATTTTTTATAAAATTTCTTATTCTTTTCAATGTCTGTATTGTACTTTGTTATATATAACAATTTATCTGATCCTCCTGTTGATGGATGTTTAGTTTTTCTGTTTTTTTTTAACCTAAACAGTGCTGCACTCAATTCTCTCTCCTCTCTCTGTCTCTTGCCTCTGTGTGTGTGTGTGTGTGTGTGTGTGTGTGTATGTATGTGTGTGTGTGTGTTTCCATTTGTAAACCTATTTAATAGGGTTAACACCCAGAAAAAGAATTTGGTGGTTCAAATAATATAAGCATTTACATTTTTAATAAATATTGCTTCTGTTGCAAAAGGGTGAGCCACTACTCAACAGGTGTCTGTTTTTGCTTTTTCATCTTTTTTTTTGTTGTTTTTTTGAGACAGCATTTTTCTCTGTCACTCAGACTGGAGTGCAGTGGCGTGATCATAGCTCATTGCAGCTTCCAACTCCTGGGCTCAAGCAGTCCAGCCACCTCAGCCTCCTGAGTAGCTGGGACTACAGGGGTACATCACCATGTTCAGCTACTTTTTCTTGGTTTTAGTTTTTTGTAGAGAAGAGGTCTTGCTATGTTGCCCAGGCTGGTCTCATTTTAAACTGCCAGGCTCAAGCAATCCTCCTGCCTCGGCCTTACGACGTGCTGCGACCACAGGCATGAGCTACTGTGTTCTTTTTTTTTCATTCTTATGGGCACTGAGTAATATAGTCTGATGTTCAGGAAAGGATATTTTAGTAATTTGATTTGATTATTATATTTTAATTTACCTGATAAGTCAAGTTGTATTTATTTTCATATGTTATTGTCCATATGTATTTTTTATATTATAAATTGCTTTCATTTACTTTATTTATTATTAGAATTCTCCCTATATAATGGACAGCAACTCTACTTGATGGTCTGCAGATACTTTTCTTTTTTTTTTTTTTTACCAGTTTTTTGTTTGCCATTCAATTTTGTGCTTAGTTTTTCTGTATATAACAACGAGTTAATTTTCATGTGCTAAAAAGAACTTGGAATTAATTTGGTTTATCTTTTTTATTTATTCCTTGAGATAAAACTAAAAATATTTCCAATATTCTTGTTAGTCAAATGAGTACAATTATTTGGTTACAGCAAAACTTAATAATAATAATAAATAATGTTTATTTATATGGTAGCTACTGCACTAGGATCTTTATGTATGTATTAGAGAAAATAAATGTCTTTTTCACTAACTTGCCTAATCCTGGAATTTACTGTATTTTAATTTGAAGGAAGTCTTTTTGTGTCATTTAAAACCTAAGATTAGCTAATTTTATTTTCCAATTTTTCCCCAGGTTAATAGCAATGAACTTACAAATGGGGTAATAAATGCTGCCTTCATGCTCCTGTTCAAAGATGCCATTAGACTGTTTGCAGCATACAATGAAGGAATTATTAATTTGTTGGGTAAATACTGCTGTAGCTTAGTAACATTTCTTATCTTGTGTCATATGGATAAATAATATTGACTGAGTTGTTACTTAAAGCTGTCTAAAAATTTATTATGATATATTCATTCATTGTAACAATTAATTTGGAGAGAAGAGTTTTACACCTGATTATTTCTGCAAGTGATTACATACTTTTATACCCAGGATGTTCAGCAAGTTGAACTTTATTTTTTAGATATATCTATGTTTTTTCTACCCATTTTGTTAATTTTTAGAAATATAAAAGTGCCTTTAAAATTTAGCTGGGTTAAGATAGTAGTAAGTTTTAGGCTGAGGCAGGAGAATTGCTTGAACCCAGGAGGCGGAGGTTGCAGTGAGCCTAGATCTTCCCTGTGTACTCCAGCCTGGGCAACAAGAGCGAAACTCTGTTTAAAAAAAAAAAAAAAAGTAAGTTTTATGTTATATGTATTTTACCACAATAAAAAAAGATGGAAAAAAAATTTTTTTTGTCCCAGAAAAATCATAATCGACTCCATAATGAACTTTTTAAAAAATTTAAATCTGTTTTTTATAGTCCGAAGTAACATGGACTTACTCAGGGATGCTTTAATCTATAGGATAGGGAAATTTGGCTTATTTTTTCACAAGTGAAAAATAAAGGTTTTTTTATAAAGCTTTGGAAGGCATAGTCTTCCATACTATAATTAGTATAAATTAACCTCTTTACTCCTATGTATACATTAAACTTAAATGAACTTTCTGAGTGACATTTGGGCATGGTTAAGTTGTTAGATAATACACTATTAGTAAGAAGATTGGAAATAGATGTTAGTGCTGTTTTAAACGGGGTCAAGTGTGATACGTGTTTACACACAAATATATACTTAGGTAATTGTGAGGAAAAGTATTGTGGCACAGACTGGGAATATGAGTAAGGTCAAGTAATGTTTCTATTTTTTTAATATAATAGCAGCTCTATTCTAATTTGCTTTAAATACCTAAGCTAGCTTAACACTGATATTTTTCTAGCAGGGTGTGTATGTTCCTTTAGAGACCTATTTGGAGCTATTACCTACTCTTTTTTCCTTTTTTTGAGTGTTATATTTTGATGTGAACAAAAGAATTTTTACATTTATTTTGTCAGAAAAATATTTTGATATGAAAAAGAACCAATGCAAAGAAGGTCTTGACATCTATAAGAAGTTCCTAACTAGGATGACAAGAATCTCAGAGTTCCTCAAAGTTGCAGAGGTAAACTGTCTTTAAGTGACTGTCTCCTAACTTGCCTTTTTGTCTGTAAGTATGGATTTTGAAGTCATCACTTACTATCCAAATAAAATAAATGTCTTAAATTTAGTATTCAGTGATACTATTATGCTGTATTGAATTCTGTACCAAGATATGAATATGATAAAATAGTGAATAAAATACATGCTGTATATTTAATTCAGTAGCGAGTATTGAAAAGTTACCTGTTTTTAAATTGTTTACTTCTCTATAAAATTGAGTAAGTGACATACAGTAGTGCCAGAGATTTTTATGGTTGGAATTAATCATATATTTGAGAATGTTTATTGTTAAATGTGGTAGAGAATATCCAGTATCAGTGCAGGTTTCTTTTCAGTGAGACAGCTGGAGCCACATAGTTCAAAATGTTTTCGTTGGCAGGGCACTGTGGTTCAGACCTGTAATCCCAGTGTTTAGGGAAACGGAGGTGGGTGGATCACCTGAGGTCAGGTGTTCAAGACTGGCCAACATGGCAAAACCCCATCTATACTAAAGATACAAATATTAGCCAAGCGTGGTGACGGGCACCTATAATCCCGGCTACTCAGGAGGCTGAGGCAGGAGAATCACTTGAGCCTGGGAGGTGGAGGTTGCAGTGAGCCGAGATTGCACCACTGCACTCCAGGCTGGGCGACAGAGCAAGACTCTGTCTCAAAAAAAAAAAAGCTTTTTTTCACCAACAGAAATGAATTTTGTGTATTTATTATCCTTGATTGTGAAAACCATGAATGTAGGTAATAGGATAATCCAATTTTGCGGCTCTGCTTAAAAATAATTTTCTGAAATTGTCACAGAAGGCAAGTGTGGTAATACTTGCAGGCATTATCTTGCTACTACAGAGGCGTTCTTAAGGGTTTTTTTGTTTGTTTGTTCTCCCATTCTCCAGCCTCTACCCATCTCCACCAAAGATTTCTTCCTAGGATAATTTGCTCAATTATGTCAAAGTAGTTACTTTGGAATTAGCAAGTTAGTGATTCTAGGCTTTATTACTGTGGTGATATGTGATTCTATATTAGAAGCAATCGGACAGAACAGGATGATCAGACAATAGGTTTATTATTAATCTGCCGTTTCAAGGAGAAAGATCCTTTCCATTTTTTAAGGGTCAGTCACATATTAAAACAAGAAGGTGGTGTTTATGCTGTGATTCTAGTAAATTCTTTAGATAAGTTTTAATTTGTTGACATTCCCTCTTGGCCTTTTATGTTCTTTGCATTTGGTAGTTGTAGTTAAAAGTTAAGTGTTTTTTTTTTTTTTTTTAAAGACAAAGTCTTGCTCTTGTCCCTAGGCTGGAGGGCAATGGCGCAGTCTTGTCTCACTGCAACCTCTGCCTCCTGGGTTTGAGCGAGTCCGCTGTCTCAGCCTCCCGAGTAGCTGGGATTACAAGTGCCTGCCACCACACCCAGCTAATTTTTGTATTTTTACTAGAGACGGGGTTTCACCATGTTGGCCAGACTGGTCTTGAACTCCTGACCTCAGGTGATCTGCTGGCCTCGGCCTTCCAAAGTGCTGGGATTACAGGCATCAGCCACGGAGCCCGGCCCAAACTTAAGTTGTAAGCCCCCTTCTGTACTCCAGGTCTGCTGTTAAGTTATTCTTAGGTGGGATAGACTCTCTGCTATCTATGATTTTTTTTTTTTTTTTTTTTTTTTTTTTTTGAGACAGAGCCTTTCTCTGTCACCCAGGCTGGAGTGCCATGGCATGATCTCGTCTCACTGCAACCTCTGCCTCCCAAGATTCTCCTGTCTCAGCCTCCCACATAGCTGGGATTACAGGTGCCCGTCACCACACCCAGCTGATTTTAGAGATGAGGTTTCACCATGTTGGCCAGGCTAGTCTCGAGCTCCTGACCTCAAGTGATCAATCCACTGTGACCTCCCAAAGTGCTCGGATTATAGGCATAAGCCACCACACCCAGCCTGCTCCATATGATTTAAGAAAAATATGAAGAGTCCCTTGCCTTAAAATATTCTGTTATGAGACTGTCTCTGGGCTTGCAGTTCAATTAGAATGCCTTAGTTCCTGGAAGAAGGCAAGAGTAACGTCTTGAAACATGTTTGAAGAGGACATATATATCAGGCAGCGATTAGTAACATCTGAGTAATAATGAATTTATCAGGCTTTTTTTTTTTTTTTTTTTTTTTTCTTTTTGCTGAGACGGAGTCTCGCTGTTTCCCAGGCTAGAGTGCAGTGGCGTGATCCCTGCTCACTGCACCCTCTACCTCCTGGGTTCAAACGATTCTCCTGCTTCAGCCTGCTGAGTAGCTGGTATTACAGGTGCCTGCCACCATACCTAACTAATTTTTGTATTTTTAGTAGAGATGGGGTTTCACTGTGTTAGCCAGGATGGTGTCGATCTCCTGACCTCATGATCCGCCCACCTCGGCCTCCCCACATGCTGGGATTACAGGTGTGAGCCACCGTGTATCTGGCCTTTATCAGATTTTCTACTGACATCATTCTGAGACCAACCCCTGAGAGGTCACAAAAGGAAGGGAGACTGATTAGAAAATGAAACACAGCCATGGGACAGAAAATAGTTTTCTAATTGGATGCTAGAATACACAGGAACCATTTCTATCTTTTTTTGCTAGAAATTGCCTAGGGCCTGAGCATCATGAAAGTGTATTGGAATTGCTTTGTGAAGACAGTTATATCCTGATTAGATATCACTTGACATTTTTGTAAACCTGGCCTACCTGACAGAACATGAGTTTTTAAAAATGTTATCTATGGTGATTTCTAGGGAAAACATGTTTTATGGAGAAAGACAAAGTCGATGTCTTCAGGTTTGTTTCTTAAATTTTTTTTTTGTTTTCCATCAAAGAACTTGTTCATGGTCAGGCTTTCTCATTCTTAACATATTTATCGTATTACACATAGAAGACAGGGGAGTTTTCAGATTGTGACAAAGTAGCTTATATATAGGTATTCAGAAGACATAGGAATGGTAACTTAGATTTGTTGACTTTCCAACTCCAGTTTCCCTACTGTTAACAACTTCTAGGGCCACCAAATAATATCTAAGCCATTGGAAATATTGAGTATTTTTGGAGATTAAATATCTTCCTGATTCTTAAGAAGTCTGTTTAAAATATTACTGGTACTAGCCGTGATGTCATTTTTCCAAATTTTATTTATAAAATATTTTTATTATAATTTATTAAATACAATGCTTCTTCTTACAGCAAGTTGGAATTGACAGAGGTGATATACCAGACCTTTCACAGGTAAGTATATTGTTAAAATATCAATCCACTATCTGTTGTGTATGAGCTGTGAAGAGTATTAAGATAAGTAACATGTAGCCCCCATTGTCAAAGGGATCAGTGCAGTTTTTGACCAATTTTAACATTTTGATGTATTCCTAAAGATTGTTCTAACATTATGACCACATCAAGTGATCTGCTTGCCACTTACATTTGTGGCCTACCCACTGTCATACCATTTATTCAGTCTCTTCAATCACTGTTTCTTTCCCATCATCATCATTTAAAAAAGGAAAAAAAAAAAATTTTTGGAACCTGAATTTAGAAAATGATATTTAGAAAAACAATTTTCACTATACTGCTGGTAGAGAATTATACAGTATTTATTTTTCCTGTTTTAAACTTCCACTTTGACTGTTTGACTCAGTTGGGAGAATTAAATAGGGATAAACTTCAAAACATAATATTAGATCAAGAGAGTAGGGTTTGGGATATGTCCAGATTTCAGTCTCGGCTGTGCCATTAGCTGGCCCTGTGACTTTGGGGAAGTTACTTTCTAAGCTTCAGTTTCATCATCTGTAAAATGAAGATACTACAGTACCTACCTCATACAGTAAGTAGTTCAGGGGATTAAATAAGTTAATGCCAAAAAAAAAAAATTTAGAGCATTAAGCACACTCAACTAATGTTGGCTGTTTTAATACTGTCTTTATCATCATCATCATCAAAAAGTTTCTAAGAAACAAACTTCATACCTGCTGGTTGTTGTGGCTTATTCTCTGTTTTCTTTACTGAGTATTAAGAATGAAAGTACCTGGCATAAACTATCCTTGTAACATTTCCATCAACTCTGTCAACTGTTGACATCTGTTTTACCTTGTTTTGAATTGTTCCAGGACATTTTTTTTTATGTTTCTTTTTGACATAGAGTTTTGCTCTTGTTGCCTAGGCTGGAATGGCAGTGGCGTGATCTCAGCTTACTGCAACCTCCACTTCCTGGGTTCAAGCGATTCTCCCACCTCAGCCTCCCAAGTAACTGGGATTACAGTCTTAAGCCACCATGCCCAGCTAATTGTTGTATTTTTAGTAGAGACAGAGTTTTGCCATGTTAACCAGGCTGGACTCAAACTCCTGACCTCAGGTGATCCGCCCACCTAGGCTTCCCAAAGTGTTGGGATTACAGGCGTGAGCCACCGCGTCCGGCCTCCAGGACATCTTTAAAATGCCTTGTTAACAGTTACTACTGAGCTTCTCTGTACTCAATTGTTCTGATTCTTCCCTCTAATGTCAAGGCTAAGAGTATGCAATAAATCTAGTCCCGGGTTATATCTAAGTAAAGAATCCTGTATATGTCCACTTGAAATAAATTGGCTTTATTAAGAGCAAGCACATTATTCTGGGTTGAACATGAGATAAGTCATTGCTTGAATAACGTATAGTATAAAATGATTTGGCAACTTTAGATTCCCCTGTTACCCACCCCATTTGTTGTGCTTCCCTTATGTTTTATTTAAAATTCATTGTCCTCAGGATAGATGTAGAAGTTACGGGCCATCATCATGTGTCTGTGTATGTTAATATTCACCCTATTGTAATTAGAATAGGATTCTTTAACCTCTGTTCCTCTTTTCCTCTGTATTGATGATCTCTAAGCAAAGGGAACTTACCAGGCATTCTTTGGGTGATTCAGAAAATTTTCAAAAGTGAATAAAACAAAGCTGTTTACACTTTAGGGAAGATGGTGGTAATGCAGAAGAGTGGAAATTTGAGATTATTTACTCTTTTTTTTTTGTTATTACATATTCTTTCAAGGTGTAAAGCATCACATTTTCTTCACTCTTTGGGTTTTGTTGGGAGAGGGGGAGAACAGATAGGCTTTTGCTTTGTCACCCAGGCTGGAGCACATTGACAAAATCATGGGTCACTACATCCTCAACCTCCCAGGCTCAAGTAATCCTTAGCCTCAGCCTCCTTAGTAGCTGGTGTCACAGGCATATGCCACCACACCCAACTAGTTTTTAAATTTTTTTGTGGAGACAGGGTCACCTTATATTCCACAGGCTGGTCTCAAACAACTGGGCTCAAGCAGTCGTTCCACCTCTACTTCCCAAAGTGTTGGGATTACAGATGTGAGTCACTGTGCCCAGCCTCCTCACTGTTTGTCATGTGGATTTGACTTTTAAAGAATAGCCAGATATATTTAGAAGGGATTTTAGAAATGGTTTGTCTTACTTATCATAACTTGGTAATTTAATATTTTTATTTGTAAGCCACAGCTTAAACCCTTCAGAAAAAAGATAAACTACAGTTTCTATGACCAGAGTTTCAGTTTAGGATTTGGTACCATAGTAGTTAATTATGTAGTCTTTAAAGTCAGAGATACCTTCCCTATCTTGGCTTCTGTTGTGTATCAAATATGTGATCTTGGACAGATAACTTAATCTTCACTGTCTCAGGTTGTTTATCTGTAAAATGGATATACCAGTAGTGTCTGCTTCATAGATTCAGTGACTACTACGAGGTAGCTAGCGCAGTACCTGCTGTGTGAGGAGAGCTTTTTAAATGTTAACCACTATCATCAACATCCTCCTTATTTCTGAAAGCTCTAAAGACAGTGCTTTGCTACATTTTTGCTGGGGCTGTAGGAAGTGCTTATGTACTCTCATTTCAACAAAGAAGTTCATCTTCCAATGTAGTATTTGGTTTTAAATGGTTTTCTACTGTATCTCCCTTGGGCTAAGGTCCTGGTATGTAGAGGAAATAGTGGATGAAAGAAGTTGTTAAAGTCATAAATGATAGAGAAATTAGTAGGTATTGCCCCTTTAACTATTTTTAGATCCTGTAATCCAGAAACTGTGTCTCAAATCATGTAGAATATTTAGGGTAAGTAAACGCTACCGATGCATTTGCTTCACTTCTAGTGGACAGTTCTTAGTCTGCACACTGAAAAGGTTTCCTTTTGAAAGCTTTCTTCATATTAAGTTGAGATTTGACCTGTAGCCTGAGTTTAAAATGGTCTTCTGTTAAAAAAAGGTAAATACTCATTTCAGTGCAGTTTGATAAACATTTGTGTAACCAACACATCATTCAAGATAGGAAAATTCTATTTCCCCAATCCTTATGCCCCCTTCCAGTCACTTCTTACCCACCTCCACAATCACTGTTTTGTTTTCTAATAGCATAATTTTGTTGGTTTTTAAACTTAATATAAGTGTAATCATACAAGTATTTACTTTTGCATTCTGGCTTTTTTTGCTTATCATATTGTTTGAGAGCTGTCTATATGTTGTTGAATATACTATTAATTAATTCTTCTTTATTGCTGAATAATATTTACCATAATTTTGTCTATCCATTTTCCAAATGATGGACTTTTGGATTATTTGCAGTTTTTGACTGTTGTAAATAAAGCCACATTAAACATTAAGTCTTTTCTTACAGAGATAAGTTTTTATCCCTTTGGGGTAGTTAGGAATGGAATTGGGTCATTAAGGTGGGTGTGTATTTTAACTTTGTAAAAAACAACCTAATCCATTTTCAAGGTGATAAACTCCCACTAGTGATATATGAGAGTTCCAGTTGTTCCATGTGCTCACCAACATTTGATATTGCTAATGTATTTAACTTTAGTCATTGTAGTAAGTGAAAAGATGTATCTCATTGTGATTTTCATTTTCATTTCCCTGATGCCAGTGTTCAGTGTCATTTATCAATAATTATTCCAGAGTCATGTTTGAACACATTCAGTTGCTCAGCAGTGCTTATTAAGTACCTTCTGCATGCTCAGTAGTATGTCTAGCTTTTGGGAATATGGTTTTACTTTAAAATTTAAGTACTTGCAAGATTTTAAAAAAATGTTTCATGTTTACATAGTTTTCTGTTCTTAACGTTTTTGGTAATGTTTCTTAATATTTCCAACTAGGTCATGTTTGTATAATAAAAGTAACATTGTCATTCTCATTAAGTAGCTAAAACTCCACTGTTAATTAGTACATGAAGAACATACCTGTTTATTTTTGTTGCTCTCTGATTAGATGATACTTGATTTAATTTGACCAGTGGCCTAATTATCATGAAATTCTTAATATTTGTACAATTGCAGGCCCCCAGCAGTCTTCTTGATGCTTTGGAACAACACTTAGCTTCCTTGGAAGGAAAGAAAATCAAAGATTCTACAGCTGCAAGCAGGTACATCATTCTTTGTAGGACAAAGATCAAGAGTGATTTTTCTGAGGGAGTAGATGAAATCAGCTCAAGTTCCAAGCTATTTAATTTCTCTTTATCTTGATTTGATTTTCTATAAAATGGGTTTAATCATAATATCAACCTCATAGAATTAGTATCAGGATTAAATGGATTAATACATGCAAATTCTTGAAATAGTTTCTGACCTTCAATAAATGTCAGCATCTGTTAAGATAATGACAGTGACTGCATAGTTTAGAATTGTGTTTATGATGTCAAAAGTTCTCCTGAAGATGATAGTGCATTGTTTTGTATGATGCTTTATAGTTATAAGATACTTTTTTTTTCTCTCCCCCCCCCCCGAGACAAAATCGCACTCTGTTGCCCAGGCTGGAGTGCAGTGGTACAATCTTAGCTCACTTGTAACTTCCACCTCCCGGGTTCAAGCGATTCTTCCACCTCAGCCTCTCAAGTAGCTGGGACTACAGATGCATGCCACCACACCTGGCTAATTTTTGTATTTTTAGTAGAGACAGGGTTTCACCGTGTTGACCAGGCTGGTCTTGAACCCCTGAAATCAAGTGATCGGCACACCTCAGCCTCCCAAAGTGCTGGGATTACAGGCATGAACCACCGTGCCGGGCCTGTAATTACAAGATACTTTTGTATTAATTTGCTCAATCCTAACAATAGCACTGTGAAGCATGTAGTAGCAGTGCTGGGACTCAAACCTAGAATATCTGACATCAAATTGCATCATCTCTGTCTAATGCCAGTTCATGGGGTTGATTATTGATATTTTACATTTTAATCACTTTATTATGTTTTAAGCTAATTCCTCAGACTAAGACCAGTTAACCTCGCAAATTGAAAGTAACACATCATTTCATATCAATCTGGTAACATGATTTTTGCATTGGGTTAAGAGATTACTTGAGTTACTCTCATGTTTTCATATGAAGCTTTTTTAAAAACAACATGAAGAAAGAATTTGTATGGTGAGAACTTTCCTTTGGTTCTTTTTAGACTTTCTGATTGTTTCAGAACTTTAGTCTTTCTTTTAGTAATAAAATTTAAATTATTTTCAACGGAAAATGCCATTATTAGATTTTAGTACTTACTTTTAATCCTAGATTTGTACTTTGAATTTTCTAGTAGGATTTTCGAAGTAGCAGTCAAAACAATAAGTCTCATTTATTTGAGAGAATAATGAAGAAAAAAGCCATGTAGTTCAGGTGTACCAGTTTACCTGAAATGTTTATCATAAAATGTATTGGTTTTCTTGCATTTCTGTCAACTATGTCACTCTTCCTTTGTCTTCTGAGTTGTACCTTTTTATTGGCTTATTTATAATACTAATTTTATGTAAAATTTAAAAGAGTTTTTACCACTTTACATGCTTAGAGTAGAAATTAATGATGATTAGTGTGTGGTAAAAGGAAAATAAAGCTCAAGGTAGTTCTTCAGGTTAGAATTCTTTACCACTTGTTTTACTTAGCCTAGAGTTAACATTTGGAAAGTTAATGTTGAGGTTTATAATGTGGATACTTTTTTGATAAAAGGGAAAGGAGATGGCTTGTCAGTAAAAGATGATACATTGTATGTGTATATTAAAAAGGAAATTCTAGTTTGGCAAAAGGGCAGCACATAGAAAGATGCCAGATGACCTGGTGACTAGATTGAAACCAGTCTTCTTTTGAAGGAACCTGAAGTCCTCTGGGGATGTTGTTATAGGTGAAACATACCTAGACCTCCGTTACGTATTACTGGTATGCATGTTTTGGTGTTCTGTGGCACTGCCAAAACGTAGGCTGTAAATTAGCAGAGGGTTTTCACTGTGATAAGGTCAACACTTTTTCCCATCAGGGATTTTGTGGGAGTATGTGGGCTCTTTCCCAATTGCATTGGTTTCCCCTCTTGGGGCTTGGAAGAGGCAATGTGCCCCACTCTCTTGTGAACCCTTTCCAAAGTCAAACATTTACTCTAAAAGCAGTGAGTGTATATGTAAGTCAAGATTTTTCTAATTGCTCTAATCCCGTAGATCACTGGGTGGAATATTTCATCTGAAGTACTGGATTTGAATCCAGAAGTTAAGTTTATAATTATAGTGCCTATCCATGGCAAGGTTGCCAGACCATTTCCTGACCTGGGTGTAATGTGAAGTGTTTAGCAAAAAGCCAAATTATCTCTGTTCAATTATCCTAGGGCAACTACACTTTCCAATGCAGTGTCTTCCCTGGCAAGCACTGGTCTATCTCTGACCAAAGTGGATGAAAGGGAAAAGCAGGCAGCATTAGAGGAAGAACAGGCACGTTTGAAAGCTTTAAAGGTAAGTTTGTGCATTCTCCATATTTGGAAAAATGAGTACAGGTGTTCATTAGGTAAATGGGGCCTCTGCACAGAGTCTTAAATGTATAGTGTTAATGGGCTGAAACTCAGTCTGACTTTTCATCGTGACATAGAATTAGGTAAAACAGAATATCTGCTATCAGAACAAATTAGAAAATGCTTTTTTCAGAGGTTGTACAAACAAATCTAGTTTCTGGAATCCTTATGGTAGTTCCCTTTCTTAACAGGAACAGCGCCTAAAGGAACTTGCAAAGAAACCTCATACCTCCTTAACAACTGCAGCCTCTCCTGTATCCACCTCAGCAGGAGGGATAATGACTGCACCAGCCATTGACATATTTTCTACCCCTAGTTCTTCTAACAGGTAGGAGTAGAAGTTAAGGTTACCTTTGAATACGTAGGTTCAAAGACTTCTAATAGAAATTTTGCAGGAATTTTCAGGTTTACTTTTATTTATACTTTTATAATCTATTCACACAAAGAGGTGGCGATAAATGGTGATATTGGTATAATACCTAAAGATAAAGTGGTGAGAGTTTATATTTTACTTATTTAGGAAATGAAATATAGTTAAATCACTGATTTATGCTAATAGGAATATAGCTGTTATCTCTGGGCAAACTTTTTATTGTGTAAAAATTATGATTAAACACATTTATGAGACATCTAATGCTTCAAGACCCTTTATAGCTCTTTGACATATGGGTATGATGTATATTTTAAAATACCATTTCATTGGATATTAAACATCTGTCATATCTGTTTCCTGGTTTTAAACTCTGTAATCTGGAACATAATGACAGTTTAGTTGCCAGGTTTCTTGGTATTGAAGCCCACCACACTAACTTTAATAATCTTGTTGTCTAATTTAAGCTACTTAACATGGAAATATAATATTGTGGGGTAAAGTAAAATAATTGACATTTTCTAAACCTGTTTTGTCTTTTACCTCAGAGTGGCTTAAAGTAGTTTAAAAGTCAGATTCTGGTTTGAATCCTGGCTCTTTTAGTTCTTAACTTTTTTTGAGAACTTGTTTTCAAGTGAGATTGTGGTTATCAACTTTAACATCAGAAACATTTGGAGAGTTTATTAAACTACAGATATCTGAGTCCCAGTCCTGGAGTTCTGATTCAATAGGTGGGACTTGGGGCCCAAGAATTTTTGTTTCTAAGATGCTCCCAGATGACTAGCTGTTATTAGCACAGTGCGTTATTAGCACATGTTAAATGTTCCATAGAGTGGTGAGTTTTTTCCTTTCACCTTGTTGTTGCTGTTTATTTTATTAACTCGCCCTTGAAAGTTCATCTTCCTGCCTACTGACTCCTAATAGCTGAGCCTAAAAGCTCATTGTAAGTTTTAGTATGTGAAATGCTTGCTGTGTGCATTCTCAGTTGCTACCTGCTCCCTAAAATCTTAGTAGGTGTTTGCTGAATTTAGTTCTCTTTTTCCTTTCAGCTTTATGATTTGTTTGCTCATGTATGCTACCTTCTTTAATCCCCAGTTAAGTAACATTGACCCCATTAAGGGGCAAGTTCTCAACATGGAGACCTTGAAAAGAAGTCTGTCCTAGGAGAGATAAATGAAAAGAATGTTCAGTGTTTGAGGCTGAAACAAATTATTGGATAAAGAACTAATTTCACTGTTTTATCTCACGTACTAAAAATGTTCACCTTTTTAATAGTAATTAAGGGCAAATCTTACAGCCCATTTATAGAATTCTTATTGTATATTCTATATGTTCCCCAAAGCACTAAATGCATTTATATCTACTATCTACACAACTGTTTTACATCTAAAAGACATGTCTTCAAAACTTTTTTATAAAAATACAGTTAGAAGGAATAAGTTCTAGTGTTTGATAGCACAGTAGAATTACTAGTTAGTAATAATAATTGCGTTATCTATGTCAAAGTAGCTAGAAGATTTAGAATGTTCTCAACACAGAGAAATGATGAATGTTTGAGTTGTGATAGATGTCCTGATAATTACATGGTATGCATGTATCACAATATCATATGTATCCCATAAATATGTACAGTTGTTGTATATCCATTTAAAAAGAAAAACATTCTATTTTGGAGAATATATAAGTTAAAAATTAGGAGCTGGGTGTAGTGGCATGTGCCTGTTGTCGCAGCTACTCAGGTGGTTGAGGCAGGAGGAAGGCCTGAGCCCAGCAGTACAATGCTAGCCTGGGCAACATAGCAAGACCCCGTCTCTTTGCCTGTCTCTCTCTTATTCTCTCTCTTTTGAGACAGTGTCTTACTCTGTTACCCAGGCTGGAGTGCAGTGGCACAGTTATGGCTCACTGCAGCCTCAACCTCCTGGGCTCAAGCGTTCCCCCGTCTTAGCTTCCTGAGTAGCTGGGACTACAGGCGCACTCCACGATGCCCAGCTATTTTTCGTTTTTGTTTTGTTTTGTTTTGTTTTGTTTTGTTTCGCTTTTTGCCATTTTGCCCAAGCCGATCTTGAACTTTTGGACTCAAGCAGTCCACACACCTCGGCCTCCCAAAGTGCTGGGATTACAGGCATCAGCCACTGCACCCAGCCTCCAGACCCCTTAAAAAAATTATCTGTATTGTGTTTGAATTTTTAGACACTCTAGGGTCATGTTTTGAGTTGTTCATTAAAATCACATAGAAGTCTTGAGGTCAGAAATATATCATGTAAGCCAGGCATGGTGGCTCATGCCTGTAATCCCAGCACGTTGGGAGGCTGAGGTGGGTGGATCATCTGAGGTCAGGAGTTTGAGGCCAACCTGGGCAGTGTGGTGAAACCCTGTCTCTACTAAAGGACAAAAATTAGCCAGGCATGGTGGCATGCGCCTGTAATCCCAGCTACTTGGGAGGCTAAGGCATGCAAATCACTGGAACCCAGGAGATGGAGGTTGCATTGAGCCAAGATTGCATCACTGCACTCCAGCCTGGACAACAGAGTGAGACTCTTGTCTCAAAAAAAAAAAAAAAAAAAGGCTGAGTGCAGTGGCTCACGCCTGTAATCCCAGCACTGTGGGAGGCCGAGGCGGGCAGATCACCTGAGGTCAAGAGTTTGAGACCAGCCTGGCCAACATGGTGAAACCCCGTCTCTATAAAAATACAAAAATTAGCCGGGTGTGGTGCTGCGCACCTGTAGTCCCAGCTGCTCGGAAGGCTAAGACAGGAGAATCACTTGAACCCGGAAGGCGGAGGTTACAGTGAGTGAGCCAAGATCGTGCCGCTGCACTCCATCCTGGGCGACAGAGCGAGACTCTTGTCTCAAAAACAAGAAGAAAGAAATATATCATGTAAATAGTGTATTGTATAATGGGGTGGCTCTATTCATAAATGCATGTAAAATTTTTTCCCTGTATCATTGATACGTAGTTGGGATACTGAGGCACTAGAAGTGAGGTTAAGGAGTATTTTACTTTGTAGTGTATTGCAAATGTGATTCAAGTTCTGTGAATATTAAAAGAATTTTAAAAATATTAAAATTGCTATGATATTTTGTATTTTAGAATCTTATTGTTTAGGTTCATTTTAATAAGGAAATTAGTTTTTTCCGGGGGAAGACATTTATCCTTTTCCGAAGAGCTACTGTTCTTTGAATCCTGTATAAACTTAAGATATGATATTAGATTATTTTTCCAAGCCTCCTTAGAAATATGCTATTATATGAAGAAACTGTTCCTCTTTTGAGATTTATATTAATGAGACTTTTCTTCCTTGTTTTTAATGTTTTTATCTGCGGTGGGCAGAGAAGGTGACACTAAAGTAGCAAAGTTTTTCTGGTAAATAAAACACGTTTCCAAAATATCTTTCTAGCACATCAAAGCTGCCCAATGATCTGCTTGATTTGCAGCAGCCAACTTTTCACCCATCTGTACATCCTATGTCAACTGCTTCTCAGGTAGCAAGTACTTGGGGAGGTAAGCATTGATTAATTCTATTTTAGATTTTACATGCATCTCTTCTCATTCTGTGGTGTTTTACTTATTTGTAGTTTTTTATTACACTTGATGCATGAGAACTTGATAAATATTAAAATGGTAGTGAAGCAGTTTTATCCCTTGAAGGTATGTTCATTTATTATAAATAATTTAGGAATTTATGTTCAAATAAATTATGAAATGACATTTAATAAAGATAAATGTAAGAGGAAGGACCAAGTGTATTTTTAGGTATGAGATTATTCTTTTAATGTTGAATTTTTATTTCATAACCAGAAAATGCATAGTGGTTATTTTGATTTTGGTGTAGAATTTTTGTTTTAACTTTTGGGGAAATAACTTATCTTTGTGTTAAGTATATGATAAAGTTCTAATAAAACTCAGATGGTATTATCACACAGGAACTATGTTGTGACCAGGATTGTCTTGACCAGCTGTATGGTCAAGACTTAAATGTTTTAAATGTTTTTTAAATTAAGACCTGAAAGATTTTGCTAGTCAAAGAATTTTCCCCTTGTGCCAATAGGTATGTTTGCTGCCCTTAAGCATTTCTGAAGTGATAGGCTTATCTCTCATAGCAAGATAAATTATTCTAATGAGTTTTTACAGTATATAAACAAAGCTTTTTTCATTTTATTTTAATGATTTGAATTTAAGAACATTTAAAATTTTTTTTTTAAGGAACTATATCCTAGAAAGTAAGCTCTGTGAAGGCAGGTTTTAAAATATTTTGTTCTGACAGGTAGTTTGTAAACGTTAGTTGAATAAGTGGACGCTTTCTCTTCTGGACAAGTTCTTTTGGTGTCAAGGTGGGGGCACAGAGCAGATAGTGAAACCCTAAAACACTAGATTTCAGGCTAGTTTTGTGAGCCTGAACTTGATTTCAAAAACTAATTGACTTTGAAGGCTAGTTTAATTTAGCTAAATCTTAAGATCTGAGAGTAACTCCTAAAAATGACAAGATATTAATTGTTAAGTATTTTAGAATTATTTCAGAATGAACTGTAGATAGCAAATTAAGATTTAGAAAGGAGTTTCTTGATACCCTGATGGTATGTTCTGATTTTTGAATTCTTAATTATTTTCTGCCTTATTGTGAATTGCTTTAGAAAAGGTTAGTAGAATTAACATGATCATTTAAGCAGTTTCAGCTTATTTCCTTTTTTAAAAAATGTAGTAGTCTTTTTAAAACTAAGGCTGAGTTGTTTTTCTAAATAGATTAAAAATATTACAGAAGGCCAAATAAAAATATATTTAACATTTCAAAGAAGCTGAACTGCAATTCCTAATTGTTTTGTCTGGACACCATGTACAACTAAAAATGACAAGTTGAAGTTTCTACTTGAAATTGTTAAAGTCACATGTGAAAGCAGATAGACTGTTACGGTGGGAGAACAATTCTAAGTAATTTCAATCTGTAAGAATTGTTCTGTGGCCTGTTAGAAGACATTATTCCATCAAAGTCTCTATGTGACAGACTGCAATATATTGGAATACATTTAATCATGTTTTACTTTTCTATTTTAGTTTATTTTGCTTTGTATGCTATTTCTGTAAAAATTTCCCCCATATTAAGTCCCATAGTTTAATCAGAATTAAATCCTGTCTTGACTTTCATATAAGGATATTTGGCTTCTGAGTTGGTGATAACCAAGGTTTTGACTTCCGCATGATGCTGAGGAGTATTTTAAGCCAAGAATGTTCTAATTCGAGTCAGTATTCATATCCAGGACAATCATATTGATATATATTTTTTTAATTTTTAAAATTAAAGTTTGACTAAACAAAGTTAGACTGAAATAAAGAAATCTCATATATGGCCAGGTGCGGTGGCTCACACCTGTAATCCCAGTACTTTGGGAAGCCAAGGCGGGCAGATCACACGAAGACAGGAGTTCCAGACCAGACTCACCAACATGGCAAAAGCCTGTCTCTACTAAAAATACAAAAATTAGCCAGGTTTGGTGGTGCACATCTGTAATCCCCACTTCTCGGGAGGCTGAGGCGTGAGAATCACTTGAACCCGGGAGGCGGAGATTGCAGTGAGCCGAGATTTGTGCCACCACACTCTAGCCTTTGCGACAGAGTGAGACTCTTGTCTCAAAAGAAAAGAAATCTCATATATGAGAAGCTTAGATCATAACATTAAATGCTTAGGGTATTTTGAAGTTAACTATTTAGCTGAACACTTAAATATGTAACAGTTTACATATAATGCTGCTCTTATAGTATATGACAAAACAAAGGTATGATTTTTTCATAATCCCCAAATCTTGTTCTATTCTTTTATTGGCTTTTATTAGCTAAAAATGAATGCCAATAATAGACCTAGTATTTAATGTAGTTCTTATAAACACCACAGAAATGATGTGCATTCCTGGTCATAGATAGATTAGTGATAAGGTAGAGATAAAGGGAAGAAAAGTTTGTATGTGTATATGAAAGACATTTAAGATTCCACCTTTTGGTAGAATGAAAATGAGAGAACAGAAGCTCTCTTGTTGCCCTCATTGTATTGTTAATGAGCCTTGACTTTTTCAAAAAATGTTGTGGAGTCTAAACAAGCAGTGGGTATTGAATACTAATACCTGAGAAGACCTAGGTTTTCATCACCCTGAACATTTTGTATTATAGCAAACTTTTGAGTTTTTATATCTTAAAATACGCAATATTATCAGCTTGGTACACCGTTGAGTATTTGAAGCAAGATTTCAGATTTTAGTTTAGGTGTAATAGAATCCATTCTGAAGTGTAATTTGCTTTACTTTTAGCTGGCATGAAACACAAAACACTTGATGAAAAAATTTGATTACCTGGGCAGGTGCAGTGGCTCATACCTGTAATTGCAATACTTTAGGAGACCAAGGCAGCAGGAGGATTACGTGAGCCCAGGAGTTCGAGACCAGCCTGGGCAACATAGCAAGACCTTGTCTTTACCAAACAATATTTAAAAAAAAATTAGTTTACTGTGTGTGAATGTAGGTATCAGTTGTTTAGGACTTAAAGGCTATAGTATGACTGTGGTGCCATTTTAGTCTTTGTTTTAACTTTTTTTGGATTTTTTTTAATGACTCTAGTGTAGCATAGAATTAAACTTTTGGGCCAGGTGTGTTGGCTCATGCCTGTAATCCCAGCACTTTGGGAGATTGAGGTGGGTGGATCACTTGAGGTCGGGAATTTGAGACCAGCCTGGCCAACATGGTGATACCCCGTCTCTACTAAAAATATAAAAATTAGCTAGGTGTGGTGGTGTGCACCTGTAATCCCAGATACTCGGGAAGCTGAGACACTAGAGTCACTTGAACCTGAGAGGTGGAGGTTGCAGTGAGCCAAGGTCATGCCCTTGCATTCCAGCCTGGGCGACAGAGCGAACCTCTGTCTCAAAAAAATAAACTTGAATGAATAATGAAAAAAATAATGGACAAAACTGTATTTAAAAATTTTAAACTGGGTGCAGTGGCTCACACTTGTAATCCCAGCACTTTGGGAGCTGAGACAGATGATTGCTTGAGCCCAGGAGTTTGAGACCAGCCTGGGCAACATAGCGAGACCTTGCTTCTACAAAAAAAAGAGAAAATTAGCCGGGCATGGTGCCATACACTTGTGGTCCCAGCTACTCAGAGGGCTAAAGTGGGGGGATTGCTTGAGCACAGAAAGTTAGAGGCTTCAGTAAGCCATGATTGTGCCATTGCACTCTGACCTGGGCGACGGAGCAAGACTATCTAAAGGAAAAAAAAAAAAAAAAAAACTTTAAGGGATTTAGAATTGCCAGTTTAATAGATTAACTTGAAATAGCTGGAGCGTTATTACACCTTAATGAATTGGTTTTTATTATTATAGTGTAATGTCCATAATTAACATCTTGTAGATTACCTGTAATGTTTTGTCAAGTAGATTAGGAACTGGTTTTCCTTATCCTATTGATCTAATTATGAATACATTTGCACATATTTCTGAATATTCTTCTCTAAGGTGTTTCACGTAATAGGAAGTGATTGAAATTAGGTGCTAGGGAAATTAGGTGCTAGATAAAACCTATCTGTCAGTAGAACAGCGGATAACTGGTAACCTTTCTTGAACATGTGTATTCTCGTAAACCAATGGCTCTGTTACAGAAATAGTGTGTGGTTTTTTTTTTTTTAAAATGACTTATTTCATGGCTTTTTTTTTTGCATGAAAAACAGGTATTTTACTTGACAAAATACAATGTACTTTTAAAATTCTATGCAGCTATTAATATCATGTATTTAAAAACAGAACATTTGGCTGTGTGTGGTGGCTCATGCCTATAATGCCAGCACTTTGGGAGGCCAAAGTGGGTGGATCACCTGAGGTCAGGAGTTCAAGGCCAGCCTGACCAACATGGTGAAACCCCGTCTCTACTAAAAATAGAAAAATGAGCTGAGCGTGGTGGCACGCGCCTGTAATCCCAGCTACTCGGGAGGCTGAGGCAGGAGAATTGCTTGAACCCAAGAGGCGGAAGTTGCAATGAGCCGGAGGTTGCAATGAGCCAAGATCACGTCATTGCACTCCAGCCTGGATGACACAGCGAGACTCCATCTCAAAAAAAAAAAAAAATCAGAACTTTCGGCCTAACTGGCCAACTTTAAGCTTAATGCTTTCTTATGCAAGAAGAAGCTAGAGTGACCATCAGTATATATATTAGCTAAAAATACATATATATTTTTAGTACTAAAAACCGCTGTCCGTGGTGGCTCATGCCTGTAATCCCACCACTTTGGGAGGCCAAGGCAGGAGGATTGCTTGAGTCCAGACAGGGGTTCAAGACTAGCATTGGTATTATAGCATCTCTACAAAAATTAGCCAGGCACGGTGGCACGTGCCTGTAGTCTCAGCTACTCGGGAGGCTGAGGTGGGAGGATCACTTGAGCCCAGGAGTTTGAGGTTACAGTGAGCCATGATTGTACCACTGCAGTCTGCCTGGGCAACAGAGCAAGACCCACTCTCAAAAAGAACAAAACAAAAAAAAACCCACTGCACCCCCCTACAACTTCTTGTAACTATTTTCTACTTTTTATTTCTTAATTATTGTTTTCTGATTCTTTTTTCCCAGTGTTCCATTTATTGAGGAGTGGAATGATGGGAAAGATTTCACGTTTGAATAGCATAATCAGTATATTTTAATGGATTTGTAGGACTTTATTTTTTTTAGTGTGAATTAGTGTTCCATAAGAATACTATTATAGAAAAGTTCTTATGTTACAGAAAAAGTTGTATTGAAAAGATGTGTTATTTTAAAAATCATAACCTGAGTATTTTCTTGATTTTTTTTTTTCCTTTTTCAAACAGTTGTATTTGAGCTTGCAGAATGCTTACCTTGAATTTTTTGACTTTAAAGGAAATGTGTCTATATCATAGTAAATGAGCTAGTCCTTAGGCCAGTGTTGCCTTCTTAATGTGCAATAATACAATCTTGAGAGTAAAATACAGTACCTAGTAGTGTGAAGGTACCCCAGTATATTTTAGTGAAGGTCAAGAACTAAACTAGAACAGACAAGAAAGATTCTACTGTTTAGAATTACAGGAGTATCCGCTTATTTTTAATTATGTTACAAAGAAAAAAATATGATAATATTTTTGCTGCTTTTTATTTTTTTCTTTCCCCATTTAGTTAACTTTTTAAATCTTGAGAAGTAAAGAAAAATAGATTTCAGTCATTAGAATGATAATTATCTTGAATAAGGTATCAGTATAATATTTATCTGATTCTAGAATAACATTAGATAAAGTATTTGATAATGGTACATGTTTGATATCATTCTAGTAGGGAAACAACACTTTTGTTGTTCCTTTAGCAAATCATTTAAAGACTAAAGCTCTTAGATAGACATTCAAAGCTGTTGCTGATCTATTAAGTGGGCATTCTTTCATCTCTGTTCTTAATTATCTAAAATTCTTTTCCCCCATGCTTAGATTTTTTTCTTCATCTTTATTTTTTATTTTGAATATATTATCTGCATATGCCAGAAACAGCTTCTTACCCTTAATTTGTCATTACCCTCTTTTTTCTTTGAAAGTTTACTCACGACACACATACCTATTGTCGATATCAATTATTCAGGTAAACACAGCTGTACCACCGCGACCAACACACTCACCTAGGACAGGGAAGATTGGTGCGGGATGGGTGGCTCTTTATAGAAATATCTTGGTTATTATTCTCTTTTTTAACTACCTCACTATTGGCTTTCTGGTGTTAACAAAATGATTTTTTTCTAAGGATTAATTTTAAAATATGTTAAATGCAATTCTTCCATCTTGATAATTAGATATTTTTTGTTTTTGATAATTTAGATATTTAAGATGAATAAACAATAATATAGCTACTATTTTTCACTTTTCATCTTTTGACTAATTACAATACTAATTAATTTACTTCCTTTCTTCGTTTTGCTGTAATACATTTGGACTGCACAGATCCTTTCTCTGCTACTGTAGATGCTGTTGATGATGCCATTCCAAGCTTAAATCCTTTCCTCACAAAAAGTAGTGGTGATGTTCACCTTTCCATTTCTTCAGATGTATCCACTTTCACTACTAGGACACCTACTCATGAAATGTTTGTTGGTAAAGTACCATTTAACCTTTTTTTCCAATCAATGTTTATACTGCCTAACTATATTTTACGTGTCCATTAATTACTTTAAAAGCACTTCAATAATTACTTCAGATTTTAATATCAAATTCTAAAACTAACCAGCAATCATGTAGTGAGTTTTTTAAATTGACACTAGCATCTCAATTTTATTTATACGAACTTTTAGGAAAATTTCTCTTGATGTTGAACTCGTTTTTTTTTTTTTTTTTTTTTTTTAGCATTTTGTTCTCTTATCATGTTACAATGCAGTACTCTAGCTGTCTAGTATCACATGCAGCTTCCTGTTTTAGTTTGGAGAACTGGTTGAAAAGTAACATCTCTTAAACTTACTTGTTCATATGTGTTTATATTTTTCTCTTTGTGCTTGGGAGAGAGGGTGGTTAATCACTCTTAGCAGCTATCTTTAATCTTTTGTTTCTCTTTTAGCTGTTGCATGTCATAGTTTTATATTGTCCAAAGTCTATGCATATCTTTTATCCCATTCTGAAGGATTTCACTTTATTGATAGTATGGAGATAAAAGTAGGAAGTATGTGTTCCATTTTAAATAGTAAAGCAGAAACACAACTTGACTTGGATATTCTGTAATTACAGTATAAAAAGGCAGAATTTCACACTGAGGTTATATAGGGAGTAGTAAGTTTTAAAATATATACTGGGCCGGGCGCAGTGGCTCAAGCCTGTAATCCCAGCACTTTGGGAGGCCGAGACGGGCGGATCACGAGGTCAGGAGATCGAGACCAGCCTGGCTAACACGGTGAAACCCCATCTCTACCAAAAAAATACAAAAAACTAGCCGGGCGAGGTGGCGGGCGCCTGTAGTCTCAGCTACTCAGGAGGCTAAGGCAGGAGAATGGCGTAGACCCCGGAGGCGGAGTTTGCAGTGAGCTGAGATCCGGCCACTACACTCCAGCCTGGGCAACAGAGCGAGACTCCGTCTCAAAAAAAAAAAAAATATATATATATATATATATATATACACTGAAGCTGAAATAAATGTTTTTGAATTCTGCTGAAAAAGATGCTAACCCTGCTCCCCCCCAGCCCCAAAGACGATGAAACAACTTTTTTTTTTTTTTTGAGACAGAGTCTCGCTCTGTCGCCTAGGCTGGAGTGCAGTGGCACAATCTTGGCTCACTGCAAGCTCCGCCTCCCGGGTTCACACCATTCTCCTGCCTTAGCCTCCTGAGTAGCTGGGACTACAGGCGCCCGCCACCTCGCCTGGCTAATTTTTTTGTATGTTTAGTAGAGACGGGGTTTCACCGTGTTGGCCAGGATGGTCTTAATCTCCTGACCTCTTGATCCGCCCGCCTCAATCTCCTGACCTCTTGATCCGCCCGCCTCGGCCTCCCAAAGTGCTGGGATTATAGGCGTGAGCTACCATGCCTGGCAGACAATGAAACTTCTTTTGTTCGGTTCAGAGAAGCAGCTTAGGGTAATGTGAATTTAAATATTTCATTAAAACAGCATGCAGAAAGTCATCAGTATACCCTAAACAAATCGTGTGACCACATTCTAAATATTCTGTTAGATAAAAAATGAGTGAGGGGAAGGAAGTAGTAACTAGAAAGCGAGTTAGTAGAAGGAGAATAGACAAAGTTCCAAGTCAGGTCTTCTAAAAATATGACTAGTCTAATAGCTTAAAATACATATATACCCAAAGTGTGATAATTCATTGCAGTAATTCTTTCATGTCATTTTGATACAAAGTTGCCAACCCTTACTCTATAGGATTAAGAACAATCCAGAAAAACCAGAATAGCTATATATCTAGGCAGCTTCTGATCTTGACAGAGGGAAGACATTTGATACAATGATATGTGTAATAGGTAATAGTGTAATAGGTAGCTTGTCCTCATTGAAGCTTCAAGAACACTGAATTGTATGTCAAGGAGACTGAGTTGTGGTCTTAACTATGCTGCATATGTGATTGTCTGTGAAAGTGTCTAGGCTTGCTTTCTCACCTGTGAAACCACACATTAGAGGACAGGATCGTGTTGGCTAAAAAGCCAACTGCCTCATATTTCTTCTCTAATGAGATACAGTGTTGGGTTTTTCTTTTTAATTTATGCAAACAGAATAGTTTTTTAAAAGTACTTAATGGAGCCTTAAGTTCTTTTTTTAGTAAGTTGTCATTTGAAGAATGCCAAGTGCTTGGGCTCCCCCCATTTTTTGTTTTCTCAATTACCCATCCCACTCATAACTGTTCCTCCTCTTCTCTTTCTTTTTTCTACCTTCTCTTCTTCCTCTTATTCCTTGCCTGCCTCCCTAGCTGCTTCCCTGATTCTTTCCTTCCCCCTTCCCCTCTTTTTTTCCCTGTCCTTACTCCTTTCCTGCCTTCCTGTCTTGTGTGCCTTGTCAGAATTGTTTGTGTCACTTAAGTTTCTCCTAATACTACCTTTATGTGCCTAGTTTCTTCTACTGTAGCCGGCTCATTCGGAGCTAGATAACAGTATCTTTACAACTTATTTATGCAGGAAGAATTTTTTTTTCCTTAAAATGAGTTTTTATAAACTTGGTAAGAAAAAATACACTGACTTGCTTTCAAAGAACACACTACTTTTTGCCTAACTGCATTTGCCTTAATTAAACACTTGGTGATTTTATGAATAGATGCTTATCATCTTCTTACTTTACTCCATTCTCAAACCTTAAATTTTCAGAAGCATATAAACGTTTTAATATTACAAGGTTATGGAATCTGAAGTTTTGTATAATCTGTGTCTTTCCACATATATTCAAGGCCATTGTGGTAGCAGTAAAACCTCAAAGTCCAGCTGATATTTTCTGTGTGCATAGTAGTTATTACTGTAGTTAAGTTGGGATTAAAAAGAATGCTTGACACAACTAAAGAATTGAGGCTCTTGATTGCAAGAATTGGACAGGACTAAATATTTTTTAAATGGAATTTATTAGGGCGTTTGATGGTATGTGCTTGGAGCCTAGTGAACTTAGGTTTGAATTCTAGTTCTGCTTCATGAACTATGACTTTAAGCAAGTATTTAACCCTTTTAAGGCTATGCAAGTTAGGAAAATAGTTTGCAGGATTATCATGAGCTTTACATACATGACTACGTAACATCTAGCACTTTGCTAGGCATATAAAAGTATCAAAACAACTACCACTAAAAACTATCTTGGGAGCTGGGTCCAGTAGTTGGTGCCCATAATTCCTGCTAATTAGGAGGCTGAGGCAGGAGGATAGCTTGAGGCCAGGAGTTTGAGGTCAGCCTGGGGAATATGCAAGACCCCATCTCTCAAAAAATTTTAAGAATTTAAAATTCTTGTATATGTGGACCACATCATGATTAGAATGTACTTCTTACCTAAATTATTATGTAGTCATCTTAAACATTGGTTTTTTTTCTTTATTGCTTTTAGATTTTAAAATTGCCAAAGATTATTCACTTTTTTTGGTCTAATAGCAATGAAAAGCTCAAGAAGTTCATAAAATTTGAGTTGTTCTTAATTAATTATATAGCAATAGTAAAAAAATGTCTTGTTCTACTTACTATTTTATGTAAGGTGAAATACTTGGGATTAAACTGAAAAACCCCTAATAAATTTTAGAATCAAACAAATGGGGGTTCGAGTCTTGGTTCTGACAGGCTTACTAAATCTTTGACCTTGGGTAAATTATGTAATCTCTCTTTGTTTCCTCATCTGTAAAACGGGGATAATAACTATGTCATAGGGTTTATGTGAGGTTTAAATAATACCCTGTTTATAAAGCCCTTGCATAGTGTTTAGTAGTGTTTAATAAATGGTAGTAGTTACTTGACAAAAAAGTATGAGCCCTAATTTATTGTAACACTACCACCAAAATCAATTCACAGTCCAACCAAGTTTTGTAAAAGGTATTTGGAATGCCTTTCTTTCCCCAAAGCTTGTTGATCTTGTACTTTTCAGTTAATTTATTACTGTCCTCTTGAGATTTATCCTGCAGGGCAGTGGTTTCTAAATGATAAACTGTGGGTTGGTGCTGGTTAGTGAGAAAGTTTTCACTGAGCCTTGGTGAAATGGAAGAGTAAGCAGGACCTGTGTAATAATATCATAAAGTTAACCTTAACTCAGAGCTCAGCGCCTGCTCTTTTTAGCATGTGCGTGCGTGCGCGCGCGTGTGCGTGTGTGTGTGTGTGTGTGTGTGTGTGTGTGTGTGTGTGTGTATTTCTGTAAACTTTCCCTTTTAGAATAGTGATACTAGCTGGGTCTTTTTGTTTTAAATAACTTTTAAAAATTAAAAGTTGACAGTCCTGATAGTTTCACAAAAAGTTGATGATGTGCATTGAAATTAGATGTAAAACTCTAACCTTGTTGGTGTGTGTTTTTCAGGCATGCAATAATTACTTAAAAAATTGTTACTTTGGAAATAAACTGCTTGCCTCCATGATAACTATGTGACTTTAAGCAAATATTAAAAGCTGATTCGCTATTGCAATTTACTAATTTTTTTTAACTTTTTTCCTCTGTCTATAGAGGCTTTTAAAACTTGAGATACAAGTTCTGGGTTACTTTATAGTCTTTCTAACCTTTCATACTTTTAGGTAATTATGTTGTAATTTCACAGATTGGTACCTCTAGGCATTTGAGGAGATGGCTCCTCTTTTACAGAAAATATTGAAGTCATTTCTGTGTGACTATAAAGGATAAGCTTATCTTTTATATCAATCATATTCTAGAAAGCTGAGGCAAAGTAGCAGGAGAAAATAGGAATTTGATATATTGGCCTAATTTTAAATTGTTGTTCCATATATAATCTAAAAGTTAGTGACATCATAGCCAAGATTGTTACCAGAATGATTTAAAGAACATTATCTGTACTACTAACACTCTGATAATAGCATGGGCACATAATTAAGCATGATAGATTTTTTTCTTGAGTAGATACATTCGCTTTTTATGTAAAGGTTAAGAGAACAACCAGTAGTAGTAAGCTGATGGCATAATTCCTAAACAGCTCGCACACTTAAAAATATTATTAAATTGGTAAGTCTAGGATTCTCAGATCGTTTTCATGAATAGTCAGGAGATTTATATACTAAATTATTTCGTATTTTGATAGTGTTTTGTGTTCTCATTGTATGACCAATGTCTTTGAGTTAATAGTAGTTTAAGGGTTATGTGATTATGGAACACGATCAAACTGGTACATTCTCTAAAAATGTGTGTGCTACAGAATAGTCATTATAGGATGTGTAAGATGCTACTTTAAAGTAGTATCATTAATGTGTATCAGCTTGTATGGTTCTTTGCTAATAACAAATTGTTGTTTCTGTCTTTGAGGAACTTCTTGGACATCTCACCAAATCTTGTCCTCCTTTTTACAGTTTTCTTTGAGATCAGTCTTTCTAGTACAACATACTTCATTGTACTTCTTTACATCCTGGTGTTTTACATTAAGAATTCACAGTGAGATTCTGACCCGAATAGAGGAGGGGAAGAGAGGGATCCTAAGTTTAGGACACCAAAAGTTTAACTTCTCCCTAATGGTGTAGTTGTTAACCTTCTAATATAGGTGGGTTTTGTTTGTTTCTTTGGTTTTTTATATTCTGACTCAGTAGAATTTAGAAAAGGAAGAGACCTTGGGAGCCTTATAACATTCCAAAAGGTGAAATAATTTCTTCTTTGTGATCCTTGCGAGGTTGCTGTTTATTTGGATATACTCAATGATTGAAAGTTCTCCAAATCACATGACAGCCCTAATATTTTTAGGTGATTTTAATTCTTTTCAGCCCTTAGACATTCAGAACCTTACTCAAATACAACCTCGCATAATTGGAAACCTTATATTTGTTAACTCTGTATAGGCTGATCTTAAAGACATGAGCTTATTATCTGTGTAATACCACTAGCATTAGTGTAATGCAGGCAAGAAAGAATAAGGTCTGTTAATGGTTTTGTGTTTCAAGAGTAGAGTCAGCTTAATTAGTATGCTTGAGTTTATGCTTGTCATCCCCACTATTGCAAGTACTAAGTTGAAGTTAGAGGGTGGTTGAGAGTTGAAAGTGGCATATCTTTTTTCTCTGATGTTTTAAAAGCACATGGATACAGATGGACATAAGGATTAGTGAGTTGCACCATTGAGAATCCCATCACTGAACTTAAGCTATTTAGCTTTTGATTAACTGTTGAAGGAAGGATGGAGAGAAATATGGAAAATGGGTAGGTGGGAGGGAGAAAAACTTTTATCTTGGGGATACTGAGAGGTTTCATACTTGTTTTTTAAGCACTACAGAATTCTTACTGCATTCTCAACTGATCCCTTACATTGCGTATGTATTTTGCTTCATGCAAAATCTTGTAATTTTAGATGTGTTTAGTTTTTTAAAGATTATCCTCATACAAAATTAAGGTAAAAGATACACAAAGATTTCTGTAATGAAGCATATTTTCCGTTCAGTGTCAGTTGCTTATTTGTTAATTTTGTCAGTAGGATGATTTTGTTAGAGAAAACCTAATCGCTGCAAAAAATGTGATATAGAAAACATCTTGCTTGAAGGATTGGCTTTGTTTTTGTTTGGGGAATTTACTGCATTTTCCATTCTATTGTCATCATTATTAAATAGTTGTAAATGTAGAGTTATTAAATAATTGAACTTTTTTTTCCATTTTGGTTTACCCAGGATTCACTCCTTCTCCAGTTGCACAGCCACACCCTTCAGCTGGCCTTAATGTGGACTTTGAATCTGTATTTGGAAATAAATCTACAAATGTTATTGTAGATTCTGGGGGTAAGGAAAAAAATTTTATTAAAAATATTATAGTGTCCTAATTTAGATTCTGTGTAAGGAAAAATAATGCTGCTTTTAAAATGTTTAAGTATATTAAGTTGGGGTAGCCAAAGAAATTGACCCATCCCCCCAAGCACTAGACGAGAACTTCAAGGAGCTGTTTAGTCATTATTCTTTTATTGGTGCCAGTTTAGACTTTGGGAACATTTTGTTAGTCCTAGAGCAAAATAAGAGAGAAAAAGAGATTTAGCTCTATAGAATGCTAAGTTGCTTGTGACTGTGTGTTGTGACTATGTTGTGCCTTTTTAGGCATGCAATTTTTACCTTTACTGAAATGAATAATAACAGTATTGTATCTTAATGTATGAAATTGGCTATGTTTGGAAACTAGAATAATATAACTTGTGGTACCTTGACTTGTTTAAATAATCTATTATAAATAATTAGAATGTATTAAATGATCAGGCCTGCGGGTACAGGAGCTTTTTATTGTTTTATATATGATTCTTATTATGATTCATTTGTCTTAAAGAAACTTTTTAGATCTGTAGAGCCAGGTTTCCACTTTGTGTTTTCATTAATACCTTGTTAATTTGAAGTGCCTGTAAAACTTTGACACTCATAATTTTGTTCTTACCCTGGGATGGCCTTTGATTTTGGTTAATAATTAACTTTTAGCCATTTAGAGAGAATATATTGAGATGTTCTTAATTTTATAACATATAATTAGTTATCCTCCAAAAACTAAGAAGCAAGCCTATAAAAAATATGTGTGGACTAAGAATTTATTTTTTCTGTGCACTAGTAGATTTATGGTAATATTTTTTTGCTGCATTAGATTTTAGTTTGTCTTGCCTGGGAAAGTGGAAAGAGAGACCAATCATTGTTATGAACTATCATCTTTGGTGACTTTCTTTTTCAAACTCTAATATTCCTAGATCATACTATTGAGTCCCATAGAGAGTTTGATTGGATTTTCTTTAATTTTCTATCCTTTGGTGAGGAAAACTTAAAGAATTTTATTTTCATTTTTAAGAATTGTCCTCGTTTACTAGATGGGCTTATGCAATTACAGTATTTAGCAGTTTCTGAGATATAGTTCACTCTTACATTCTCTGCTTTTAAAAAAAGGTCTATAAAATCTTATTTCTTAATGCAAAAGGAACTTTTTTCAACGTTCCAGAGAGCTATTTTTTAACCTATGTTGCTTTAGATATGAGTCTTCAAAAAATTTTGCTGGGCAAGCAGGAGAATTACATTCCTTTTTTTCCCTTTTGTAATACTTCTCTCTTATCCCCTTTAACCCTAATGTAATTTTGTCATGAGATAAGAGATGATTTCTGTCAAAACAAATACAGCCTTCTCAGTCAGTTCACTGTGAAGTGGTAAATTTCTCCATTTTCCATTTAAAGACATTTACTGATGTCTATTTTTCGGATAACTTTTCCAGTGAACAAACAAGGAGAAAAGGCAAATACCTCCTTTAGAAAACCATAGCATCATAAAGTTCCTTACAAATTCTATTTCATCTGTTTGTAACTTTAAGGCTTTGATGAACTAGGTGGACTTCTCAAACCAACAGTGGCCTCTCAGAACCAGAGCCTTCCTGTTGCCAAACTCCCGCCTAACAAGTTAGTATCTGATGACTTGGATTCATCTTTAGCCAACCTTGTGGGCAGTAAGTAGTCTTTGGATACTTTAATCTTCTTTTATGTTGTTTTATTAAACTGAGTCTCGTGTTATAAAATGCTTTTTTTTTTTCTCCTTTACTAGATCTTGGCATCGGAAATGGAACCACTAAGAAGTGAGTGTTTAATACACACATTTTTTTCTCCATGTGTTATTTAGAGGTTGATTTGACTTTTATCTCAAAAGCATGTATAGAGATGTCAAGTCTGCATCTTTTTTTTTTTTTTGGACACAGAGTCTCGCTCTGTTACCCAGGCTGGAGTTCGGTGGCGCAATCTCGGCCCACTGCAAGCTCTGCCTCCCGGGTTCACACCATTCTCCTGCCTCAGCCTCTCAAGTAGCTGGGACTACAGGCACCTGCCACCATGCCCAGCTAATTTTTTTGTATTTTTAGTAGAGACAGGGTTTCACCGTGTTAGCCAGGTTGGTCTCGATCTCCTGACCTCGTGATCCGCCAGCCTCGACCTCCCAAAGTGCTGGGATTACAGGCCTGAGGCACCACATCCAGCTTTTTTTTTTTTTTTTTCTTTTTTTTTTCTTTTTTTCTTTTTTTTAACAGAGTCTCGCTCCGTTGCCCAGGCTGGAGTGCAGTGGCGCTGTCTTGGCTTCCTGCAACCTCCACTGCCTGGGTTCAGGCAATTCTCCTGCCTCAGCCTCCCTAGTAGCTGGGATTACAGGCACGGGCCACCATGCCTGCCTAATTTTTGTATTTTTAGTAGAGATGGGATTTCACCATGTTGCCCAGGCTGATCTCGAATTCCTGACCTCAAGTGATTTGCCCACCTTGGCCTCCCAAATTGCTGGGATTACAGGCGTGAGCCACCACGCCCAGCCTAAAGTCTGTATCTTACTCTGTTCAATATACTTAGATAGTTAAGGAAACTTTATAATTAGAGACATTTAATATTCTCACTTATGTTTATTTAAAGTGATGTAAATTGGAGTCAACCAGGTGAAAAGAAGTTAACTGGAGGATCTAACTGGCAACCAAAAGTTGCACCAACAACTGCTTGGAATGCTGCAACAATGGTGAGTTGAAGAAGCTTCTGATATACTAACACTTGAATAATTTAGTTAAATATGTAACATGAAAATGTTTTTAAAGTGATAGGCATAAATAGATTGTTACTGAGTTTAGAAGTGTAAGTAATTTGTATTTCTTTTAAAGGAAGCTGGTTGCCTATGTTTACCGGATATATTTTAGTGGCTACCAAGTATTTAAGGGTTACTTTGTGCCAGAGTTCATTCCAGTAAATACTAATGTTTTATTTTTGATAATTCTATTAATGTGTTAGTAACTATTATTATCCCCATTTTACAGATGAGGAAGTGGAGGCACAGAGTTATTAAGTAATGTGCTCAGGATCACAGAGATCTTAAATGATTAGTTGCATTTTTAGAACCTAGGCAGCCTAACTATAGAACATATGTCCTTAGTCACTACTCTATATTACTGACCTCAAATTTTTTATTTATTCTTCTAAAATATAAAATCTTCTGGTTTCATTATTGGTAAAGAAACTATACTTGCTTGGGTTTTGTCATGTAATTTATATATATGACAATATATTTGATAATTATATATATGTCATATAACTTATACAGTTGATTCTCATTATTTGTGGCAGTTAAGTATTTAAAGTCACTCCAAACACTGAATTAGTGAACACTGAACCCTTGCTAGGGGAAATACATACATATATGTATATGTCACATAGATGTTCCTTTTAGAAAACCTCATTCTAGTATATTCTATTTTCTTTATTTTGCGAAAGAGGAAATAAAGTTCAGAAGTGTTAAGTGACTTGCTTAAGGCTGTCGCACTAACTGGTGCCAGAGTTGGAATTTTAGCCCTGTCCAGCTGGCCCCAGAGTCAGAGTTTCTTGCAGTATGATGGACTCTCCATCCTCCTTCTCTATCCTCTGGTCTGGTCTGAGAGCTGAACCAAGGCAGAGCGTCCTTTGTTCCATCTCAGCTGGAAGTGAACTGTATTGGATGAATCAAATTTTTGCCACTCTGCAAATGAGCATGAATGGCCTGGAAAGGACCAGGAGTGTTGATTTTTGGTGTCACAAAGTTTATCAGGTAGGTGAATTTGCAAATACGGAATCCATGGATAATGAGGATTAACTGTATTTTCTAATTAAATAATTAGCATCTAGTAATGAAGAGGTTTTAGCATGTTTTTAATTACTGTAAGATATGGTAGACCCAGAATAGCTTTGTGGCTATTTTCCTGCCCTAGGCCAGTTTCTGTCTTACCAACCAACAAATTTTTGTCAAAGAAAACTCCTTCTTGTGGAAAAGTTTGAAGCATTCATTCTCCTGACAGTAGACTAGTAGCTGTGTTTTGATTACACGGGCTACACATTACTAAGAGCCATCCTATTACTGTTAGAGGCCTCTGTTGCCCTTACAGCCACTTCCAGAGCACTGCCCTGTTTTCCATGGGTTAATGATATGTTAAAATTAGTAGGACTGCGCTAAAAATAGTGTGTTTGTAAAAATTTGTGCATTTTATTATATAGCTTAAGACTTAATAAATGGAAAGTAATATTGAGATTTAGCTACCTTTTTAAGGCAGTTATTTTTTGTTTTTATAGATAGTGTTCACTGCCATCACTAATTTTATTATTATTATTATTATTATTTTTATTTTTTATTTTTTTGAGACGGAGTCTCGCTCTGTTGCCCAGACTGGAGTGCAGTAGCCAGATCTCAGCTTACTGCAAGCTCCGCCTCCTGGGTTTACGCCATTCTCCTGCCTCAGCCTCCCGAGTAGCTGGGACTACAAGCGCTCGCCACCTCGCCCAGCTAGTTTTTTGTATTTTTTTAGTAGAGATGGGGTTTCACCGTGTTAGCCAGGCTGGTCTCAATCTCCTGACCTCGTGATCCGCCCGTCTCAGCCTCCCAAAGTGCTGGGATTATAGGCTTGAGCCACCGCGCCCAGCTATTATTATTATTATTATTATTTTTTTTTTTTGAGATGGAGTCTTGCTCTTTCGCCCAGACTAGAGTACAGTGGTGCGACCTCAGCTCACAGCAACCTCTGCCTCCCAGGTTCAAGTGATTCTCCTGCCTCAGCCTACAAGTAGCTGGGATTATAGGTGCCCACCACCATGCCCAGCTAATTTTTTTAGTTTTAGTAGAGATGGGGTTTCCTCATGCTGGCCAGGCTGGTCTTGAACTCCTGACCTTAAGCGATCCGTCCACCTCAGCCTCCCAGAGGGCTGGGATTACAGACGTGAGCCACCACGCCCAGACTACCATCAATGATTTTAAAACTTTGCATTTAAGTAGTTTAGATTTTTGTACACACAAATACACAATCTTAAACCTGTAAATGTTGCTCACTTGAGGGAATTGGAGCATGTATCACCCCACTTTTAAAGATTTTTTTCCCCCTAAATGCAAAGCAGTTGAAAAGCAGTTTTAAGTTGACATCCATCTCTTTGAGTCTGAATCCATTCTTCTTCCCACTATAACACACCTCATCGACTAGGGTATGGTAGGAGTTTAGAGTAGTGGATTTTATGATCTCATGTGTGAATTATGACATTGATGATGTATGAGGAATGATATAAATACCAATGCTACTATTAAAATATAATGAATATTTTCTGAAGTTAGTATTAATCTATATGAAATATTAGGAGTTCATAGATAGCACTTAAGACTGACTACTAAAATGTAATAGGTATTTATTCCTGTGGAATTTGTATTTAAGTTGATAACAGTCTTTATCTTGCTGTGTTATGTATGGTAATGTGTATCAGTGCTAAAATATTTGTATGTATTTTATGGAGTTTTCTTTTTAATGCCTAATGTTTGGGGCTGATAATGTGATTCACTACTTAAGATAAACTGCTGCTTTTGACATTTCTTTACATTTCTAACCTTTTTATTAATCCTTAAACACTGTCAAGGTTTTTCAGTGTTTTTTTAATTTAACACAAATTCATTGGAATTTTATTAAAATGAATATTATACTACAAATTATTTTAATTAGTGCTTGTTTTTTTTTTTGTGGTAAATATCTGGTACAGCCCTGTTTATGGGATGCCCAGAATTTTGCACTATTGACACTATTGATAGAATTGATGTTTTAATGATACTTGTAATCAATAAACTATTTTTTATATAAAGAGATGAGGCCAAAGACTACAATTCCCTTGTCAACCTTGATAGTGTTTTAGTATAGATGTTCTTTCATTAGATACTGGAAATACAAGGGATTTTAGGTAGTTAGTGAATGTACATGTGAACTAAAATGCTCTCTGTGTATTTTCTGTTGTGTAAGTACTTGTTCTAATCCAGTGTTATTGCATTATGTAATTGTTCTCCCTGGGAAAAACAGAATGGCATGCATTTTCCACAATACGTAAGTGACCAAAAACGAGCCTTTTTGCAATAAATTGGCATGCTATTAACCACTGCTGTAGCAGAATCTCATAACCTTTCAGCTATTGTTTTCACATTCAGATTTTCAATGTGCCAGAAATTCTTCCTAGCATCTACTGATTTCATGGGTGTGTTGCAGAATTGATTCTGATGGTGGCATGGGAAATACCAATTTTTTTTCTTGCTTAATATTCCGCCATTTGCTGCCAGATGGCTGGGTGTCTGTGTGTGTATCTGTGCTGCCACTATGCACTTGATGACTTCTGAATGAAGGGAAATGTTGATTGTGGTAATGTTTAAAATAACAACTGCATGAAATCTTACAGGCTTCTGCTCTTCTTGGCAGTTTGTCTACTGCTCTTGCAGATCTTGGTTTTTAAGTAGGGAGAGACCAGTAAGCCCTACACGCTCACCCAAATACTAAACTTAGAACTGTTCACTTTAGTGGTTTTTTTTTTAAAGTTATACTTCATTTAATTTCTCCATGCATATGTTCAAATTGCCATATAATTTCAGTTATTTTATGTTTTAGCAGTGTTATTGGTCTTTCACCTTTATTCAATTTCAGTTTTCATTATGAGAAACACACACAGGAAATGTTGTTAAGACAGCAACTATATCTAAAATGATTCTGTTCTCAAATTTTATGTTTACAGATAATCAAAGTAGTACGAAGAGGGGAACTTAAACATCGTAGTGGTAGATGGTTCTTTTAAACATGAAAGCATGAACTGACCTAATTGATTGTTCCTCTTAAATAATTTTTGGAATAAATTAGAAAGCTAACATATATACTTTATATAAGAACTATGGTTCATAGAAATAGTCATACTCAATAGTAGTTTGAAACCTTTGGAGTTCTTTGAAAAGAGTAAGATACTTAGAAACTAACTTTTTGGAAGATCAGGTTATTGATTGATTGGAGATCTTCACTTTTTTTTTCTTTGAATGCTAAAGCAATCAGGTACCTAAGTAAGAAAACATTCAATAATACTTTTTCTGGGTAAACATTTTTTATGATAGTGATAGGCTTTAAATTTTACAACTATTTAGAACTATTTAAGATACTTTTTTAAATCTAAAGATTTTTAAAGCTGTAAAAAGCATGATGAAATCTTAGATCACTGCTGTATCTAAGTTTAAGTGGTATATTTTTCCTTCTAATAAGTCTGCTTTTCTGCTAATTTCAGGACACTTTTTTTCACTGACCATTAATTGACAGTTCTTAATGATCACAAGTGTCACTTACTCACAGCTGTCTTAGCAATTCTTTTTAGTGGAACTACAGCTACTAATTCCTTGAACTCAGTTGACACACATGAGTTATACTTTCTTGTTTATTTTTCCTTTCACTATGTTAGGCACCCCCTGTAATGGCCTATCCTGCTACTACACCAACAGGCATGATAGGATATGGAATTGTAAGTATTTTCCCAGATACAGCTTTTGGAAAAAATATTCATATGTAATATGCTTTTATTACAGTTTAACCTAAAAATGAATTTAGTGCTCCTCGTACACCTAGCCCTAGTGCTTAACGCAGTAGAACCATAGCATTGGTTTCATAAGCGTGTCTAGATTATAATCATTATACAAGAGATCTTATGCATTAATGTTCATAGTATTACTTGGTTTATTTTTCTCCTCATAACTTTGCTGGCCTTTTATATTTCAAACATTCATGTTAATTCTGAGCCTCTGTTGCTGTGACCATATATTAAATACCAGTGAGATCTTATAACCTAATATTGTAGGGCATGGGAAGGATTAACACTTGAATTGTATAGAGGTAAATTTAGTCTGATAAAGGCTAGAGAAATTTTCCTGTGACAGTGGTTATTACAGTACAAAAACAGTCTTAACCTTTCAAAATGCCACAATGTGCATTTTAGATTGCCCTTACTTTCCCAACTCTCAGTATATAGAGACTCACTTAAATAAGAAATGGTGCTAGTAGCTTCAACCCACCGGTGTGTATTTGAGGAACTGTTCCTGGTAGAAGGCAGTGCCATGTCCCTTAGTATTACTATTGTGCCTGTTATGTTACTTCTTTATGTATATGATATGGAAGTAACTCCTTTTATACATGTGGAGAAGTTTCACAGCTTTTTTTCACAGTCATTGCATTAAAATGTCTGCTGAGGCTGGGCGTGTTGGCTTACGCCTCTAATCCCAGCACTTTGGAGGCCACGGTAGGTGGATCACCTGAGGTTGGGAGTTCAAGACCAGCCTGACCAATATGGTGAAACTCCATCTCTACTAAAAATACAAAAATTAGCTGGGTATGGTGGCACACACCTGTAATTCCAGCTACTCGGGAGGCTGGGGCAGGAGAATCGCTTGAACCCGGGAGGCAGAGGTCACAGTGAGCTGAGATCATGCCACTGTACTCCAGTCTGGGCAACAGAGCAAAACTCCATCTCAAAAAAAAGAAAAGTCTGCTGAGAAACTCAGGCCATAAACTTAAAATGAAGCTCTAAATGCAAATAGTAGTCTACTTGAAACAATAAATAGAACTTCTTGAAAGATTTTAGAGCATTGCATTTTAACCAAAGCAGTAGTCTGTATGTGCATTATTTTTACACTAGGTAATGTCACTTACTAGGTTAATTTTATACCCTGTAGTAGTAATTTTTAAAGAAACATACTTGGTTGAGATTCTGTTTTCAGTTACTCAAGAAAGAGTTAACCTCTGTTGTGTAATTTAAGCTCTTTTCTTGATTCTTATGTGAAATAAAATGGAAGAACTAGAGCAGGCTTATTCAGAGAATCAACTGTCTTCAGTTGTGATCACTTGCATAGTGGTATAAGAACTTGATTTGTTATACAAAGGCAATTTACTTTGAAATATCTTAGCAGCAAAGACAGAGTCTTAAGTTTTCTTGATGTCTAAACCTGATAAATTTGGAAGCTCTTAGTCTGAATCATTTTATCTGTTGTACTAGAATAAAGTTTAAATTTTGCTACTCATCGAATAGAAAAAGTTAGGCTTTGTTACCACATTTTTAAAATGAACATGTTAAAGGCTTTACATACCAAAAGAAAAAAAAATACTCTTGAAAGTTTGTAGCTGTTAGTCTTACTTATGTTCAGAGGAAGTTACCCTTCGAGTCAAGCAAAGGTACTAGGACCTGTCATCCCTGTTGTCATTGTTATTTACTGAGTCACAATAAGGAAGATGGGAGTCAATATCTTTTAACTTGATAATTTTCTGTTTTTTAGCCTCCACAAATGGGAAGTGTCCCTGTAATGACGCAACCAACCTTAATATACAGCCAGCCTGTCATGAGACCACCAAACCCCTTTGGCCCTGTATCAGGAGCACAGGTATTACAGACTACATGCAGCTGTGGTAATGTGCTTGATTTGGAAGGAATATGATACTATAACACCCTTTTGTACAACTTGAGAAACAAGTTACTAGCACTTTCCCCCTTCATTATGGATATTGCTTGCTTCATATCTTTCTTATATAAGAGCTTTAGGAATATTGATTATTTGGAGGGAAAGGATAAGTAGATAGCAAATACTAAAAGACAGAAAATTCTTGGTAACTTATAGTTGGTGGATCCAAAGGATGATTTTTCTGAGATTAAGGAGCCTACTTGCTCTTCATGATTCTGGTGTACTATCCTTTGTGAACCCTCCAAACCATTAACTCAGAGCTTTAGTTCCTTGGCTAATGGCAAGAATGATGCTACAGCAGGGTGTGTTGCCCTTGAGATGCTTGTGAAACTCTTGGCAACTCTCCAGAAAGTTTTGACTGTTATTTTTTCATTAGATAACTTTCTGCCACCGAGGATTGTTTTCAAAAACAAACCCAAAAAAGGAATCAAAAAGCTTGAAATGTCATGCTAAACTAGATTGTTTAATCTACAGAGACTTTCCTCTTCACGTGTTTCTAAGGGTTTTCTCTCCCAGTTCCTGAAAATATGCCATAAATATACATTGTTTTTTATCCCATTATTGTTGCATTAGAAGAATGTGGGTTTTTGTGTGTGTGTGTGTGTTTTCTTTTTTTAAGGTTTTACTCATTATGGTTAGAAGACATAGGAAATTCCTTTGTTATTCACTTCTCTGGTGGCATACTCTGGGATGAGGCCCTTGTGAAGTGATAGGATGGTTTATCCTTCTGTGTCTGCGGCTCTGCCCATACTGTTTGGCATTTAGAAGTAGTTAATTATATGCAATCGTTAGAACACTCCTCCTTTTCTTAAATGGTTTCTAATGCCAACTGATTGGTTACTGTATGTGTTTAATGCTTATTTGAATGAACATTTGGTTAGTGGACTTGTTATTCCCCTTCCACTTGAATGCATATATATTACATTTGCCAGACCATACCGTCTTACATTGCCAAAATTAGTTTATTTGATCCAATTTGAATCTAGTCTGTATACACAGTAGTCCCCTCTTCTCTTTGGGATTATGTTCCAAGACCCACAGTGGATGCCTGAAAATGAGATAGTACTGAACCATATATATGCTATACATATATACCTCTGATAAAGGTTAATTTATAAATTAAGCACAATAAGAGATTAATAATAATGAATAATAGAACAGTAACAGTATACTGTAATAAAAGTTTTGTTAATGTGTGCCCTTGCTCACGGACATGCTTGCTCTCTCCCTCTCTGTCTTTATCTCTCTTGAGCTATCTTAATATCCTCTACTTACCTATTTTCAGACCACGGTTCACTTCGGGTAACTGAAACCACAGAAGGTGAAATAGTGGACTGTATTTCATAGACTAGTGAAGCATAGGCAGTCCTTTCATTTTTCAGCCTTTTTGAATATTGCATCTCTTAATAAATTGATACCTCTGTTGGCTAAGAGTGGGTAGTGAATTTAGTTCTGATTAAGCGGTAAAATTCATGTTGGTTGCAATTAATACATTTAGCAGCGTGTCTCTTTTTTTACCCCGCCCTTTGTCCATGTTAAAATGACTTCCTCCTTGTTCTTTAATCAGTTAAGTATTTACAGTGAAAATAGAAAATAACTTGGAGTCAGGATAATTGACAGAGTCATTACTTTTATAAGTCAGTTACTTTTTATGTATTTGTTTTTATAAAATAGACTCTTTACAGTATTTATAGTAACTACTATTGAACTTTTACCAGCAGTAATCTGATTACTGGTTTAACTTGATAATCTTTTAAGAAGTATATTGATGATATCCCTATCTGTTGTAGATGTTTTCTTGATAAATGATTGTCTTTTTCATGTCCTTTTGTTTTTTATTTTGTTATTTGTACATTTAACTTCAGATATGTATCATTTACTTTAAAAATTACTATTTTTTTTTTTTGCTACAGAAGACTAAGTGATAGAAACCTAAATGTATTTAAGTAATTTTTTTAAAGCTATAGTCCATGCTAAAGACTTATTAGGGACCTTTGACTACAGAAGCTTTTTTCCTGATATGTAGTTAAACCCTTCACCCCCTCTGCATCTTGATTTGCAGGCTGTTGTCAGAATATATTGCTACCTTAAGCTTGGATACTACCATACAATTTCCAATTACTTTTACATACATTATGTCACCTGATTCTTTAAGGTAGATAGGTCTGCTCTCACCATCACATTTTATAGGTGAAGAAGACAGATTTGGAAAGGTTCTTCAGCTAATTAAGTGGTGAAATCAATTTATCCCCAGGTATCTCCTATTCGTAGTCCAGTGCTCATTTATACCACAGTCTCTCTGCTAGTGGGACTGAGCCCTTAATGGCCAATACGGTAGCACCATCTTTTGTCAGCAGTGAACAGTCTACACGCTCCTTTGTTTTTTCTGGTAAATGTGTAAACATTTACACATTCAGGATGTAACTACTGTAGTTGTAAAGAATATCCTCTACAGTTTTGGGTAATAACCTTCAATCTTGAAACATTGTGTATGAGTTTTGCTTTTGAAAAACTAAACATTTTTTTTTTTAATGTTGGCAAAAATCTACCTTTAAAAAATTGTTGGCCAAGCGCGGTGGCTCACACCTGTAATCCAGCACTTTGGGAGGCCAAGGTGAGTAGATCACCTGAGGTCAGGAGTTCAAGACCAGCCTAACCAACATGGTGAAACCCTGTCTCTACTAAAAATACAAAAATTTTCTGGGCATGGTGGTGCATGCCTGGAATCCCAGCTACTCAGGAGGCTGAGGCAGGAGAATTGCTTGAACCTGGAAGGCAGAGGTTGTTGTGAGCCTAGATCATGCCATTGCACTCCAGGCTGGGTGACAAGAGCTAAACTCCATCTCAAAAAAAAAAAAAATTGCTTGTCACCCAGCATCTGCTCTGTTTTTGTTTTGTTTTTTGAGACAGGGTCTTGCTCTGTCACCCAGACTAGAGTACAGTGGTGCAGTCTTGGCTCACTGCAATCTCCACCTCTCAGGTTCAAGCCATCCTCCCACCTTGGCCTCCTGAGTAGCTGAGATTACAGGTGTGCGCCACCACGCCTGGCTAATTTTTGTATTTTTTTTAGAGATGGAATTTTGCCATGTTACCCAGGCTGTTCTTGAACTCCTGAGCTCTAGCAGTTCACCTGCCTCAGCCTCCCAAAGTGCTGGGATTACAAGTGTGAGCCACCGCACCCACCAAGCATCTGCTCTTAACCCAAGTTTTATGTCCTGTTGCCTTCTAAAACCCACATAACCCTTTCGCAGAAACCAGAAAAGTGCCAGAATTTCCTTGTGCATGAAAAGAAACAGGGACAGAAATATCTTTTCCTAACTACTTTATATCAGAAGAGAAGTGAATGAGAACATTAGGGTAGTAAGTTTCTAGTTGAAAGATAAAATTTGAAATGAGTACTTAAGTATTACTGAAAAAGCAAATGAAGGAAGCAAATTGATAACTAGAAAAATAAAATCAGGCGGCAATGAAATGGCTCAAAGAAGCTTTGGTCTCTCTGCATAGTCATTTGAATCATTTGAAAGTCAGAATCTTAAATTTGTTAATGTTACTTTTAATTCTTTATAACTCCTTTGTTCTCCATGTGTCTGATCACAAAGTCCCACTAATTGTTTCTCTGCTGTAATTAGACCCACCCTTCTCCTTGCATTCTACAGCTTTCACCCAATGTTGGAACCTCTTTATTCACGCTGGTTTTGCAATAGTCACTCATGTTCTTTGCCTCCCCAATTTAATCCATTTTGTAAATACTGGAATAATCTTTTGTAGGCAGTATTTGTAGCACCTCTCTCCATACTCAAACATTTAGGGAGGTGAATCTTTTTTTGTGTGTGGGTGACAGAGTCTCTCTGTGTCCCCCAGGCTGGAGTGCAGTGGTGCGATTTCAGCTCACTGCAACCTCTGCCTCCTGTGTTGAAACTCGTGCCTCAGCCTCCCCAGCAGTTGGGATTATAGGCACACGCCACCACGCCCAGCTAATTTTTAGAAGAGACAGGGTTTCACCATGTTGGCCAGGCTGGTCTCAAACTCCTGGCCTCAAGTGATCTGCCTTCCTGGGCCTCCCAGAGTGTTGGAATTACAGGTGTGAGCCACTGTGCCCAGCCTAAGGAGGTGAATCTAAATATAACTGAAAATTTAAAGCCTTTTCTCAGCTTTCCTTCCATTTTATAACTACCTCATGAAGCCTCCCTATTTATAAGAATAATAATGAGTTAACGGAATATTCAAGTCTTCGATTCCATACTTTTACAATTCTCAATAAGTATCCAGTGTTCTGCTGTTATTTGTCTTTTCCAAAAGTCCTTCACCTGCCATAAAGTGGGTTTACTCTTTGTCCAGTCTTCAGTCGTCTCGTGTCCCTTTCACATCCTTATGAGATCTGGAATTCTTTTCCTTATTCTGCATTATTTTTTCTTACAGACCTTGTGACTACCTGGCATCCATCCAATCTAGCAAGGGCCTTCTTTACTAAATTTAAGCTTCATGAAGGCAGGCTTCTCTGGCATGCTTACTTCTCTGTCCTTAGTTCCTGGAACGGTGCCTGACATGTAATAGTTTTTGTACATTTTTTGTTAAGTAAATGAATCACCTTGTAAACTTATCTTTTTCATCATATAACTTACTCTGCCCCTCCTTAATCTCTCATTTCACTTACTTGTAACCATTATAATAACTTACAGTGGTGTTTAAAATTGATTTGATTTGTTGGCTAATAGTTATGGTGAGCTAAAACATTAGATGGCTCACCTGAGGATTGAAGACAGCTTTAACTTCATGATTGAACATTTTTAATAATTAAAAATTAAACTGTTGGCCAAACGCAGTGGCTCATGTCTATAATACTAGCACTTTGGGAGGCTCAAGCAGGAGGATCGCTTAAGTGCAAGGAGTTCCAGACCAACCTGAACAACATAGTGAGACTC